GGGGGGGGGGAGGTCGCCGCGCCGCGCCCCGAGCCGCAGAGGGGAGGAGTTGGCTGATGCGGTCTCGTGCAATCTCGGTGCAATCTCGGCTCATCTCTCGCGCCTCGAGCCGCGCCGCCCCCTCCTCGCCGAGCTCCTCGAGCGGCGCATCTGGGGCGAGGAGGGGGACGCCTGCCGCAAGACGAGCGGGCTCAGCCAACAAGCTCCACGCCGCCGGAGCGGAGAGTGGGCAGTGCCGCCTCCAGCCTCGCGCCCGATCCCGTCCACTCTCCGCGCGCGCGCCGCAAAAGGCGCCGCCGCGTCCGCCGACGGCGCGGGCGGCGGTGCCGACGGCGCGGCGCCGAGCTGCAGCGCCGCGCTGCCCGCCGCGGAGAGGAGAGTGCCCGAGTCGACCAGCGCGCGCCTGCTCAGGGCACCACTGGCTTGTACCTGAGGAGAGGAGGGTGGCCGGGCCGCGCAGCCGCGCGCCGCAGGACGTACCCGCCAACCTCGAGCGCGATCTCGGCAGAGTTGCGGGCCTAGAGGGAAGGGGACGGAGGAGGCACGTGACCTCCAACCGCGCCGGGGACACCACCTTGCGGCAGCGCGGCCGGGTGCGCGCGCCGTGTCGCTCGCGCGCGCGCCCAGCGCCTCGAGCGACGCGGAGACCTCGGCTGCTGCAGAGCGGACCTCAAAGACGAAGTCCCTCGCGCCGCGCACCGCGGCAGAGCGCGGCTCGCCACTGGCGCCGCCGCCGGACCCTGCCCGGCCTGCGCGGTCGCCACCGCCCGCGCCGCCCGCCGCGTCTCGCTCGGGTGCGCCCGTGGCGCCGCCCGTCGGGCGGGAGAGCACCTGACAACGATGCAAGGACAAAGCCGTCGGCGAGGTGGGCTGCTGGGCAAGCCGCGCCAGGCATGGGGCGAGAGCCTCGCGCAGAGCGGCCGCCTCCGCGGCGCCGACGCCGCGGTTGCCGTCGCTGCTCGCGTTGCCCAGCCGGCGGAGCAGCGACTCGACCGCCTCATCAGCCTCGACCGCCTCATCTGCCACCGCCTCGTCTTTTGCATCCGCAACCCCCGCCGGCTCCGCTGCCTGGCTCGCCTCCTCCCAGAACTGGGCAAACGCGGCCTGCTGCGCGTCGAGGAGGGCAGAGTCGCCATATCCTACCTCACCGGCCTGCTGCGCGTCGAGGAGGGCAGAGTCGCCATATCCTACCTCACCGGCCTGCGTCGCTCGTGCACTCCTCGCTTCCTCGTCGGCAGGCCCAGGTCTGGCGGCTGCTCGTGGCGATCCGGCACGAACGGAGGCAGCATGTGCGTGCCGAACAGTATCCGGATGCAGCAGGGGTAGGTTGTGCGTGAGCAGCAGCAGCATCGTCTGCGCGCTCACCACCGACACCACCGATTTACAGACCGCCGAAAGAATTTACGCTGTCGGGCAGCGGCGCTCCCATCTGAACGTGTGGGCAGCTGTCTGTTTACAGGCGCTGGCCGCCCGCGCGCGCGCCGGACCGGCTCCGGCACGTCCGGCGCTGGGCGGCGCGCGTCCACACGCGCGTCGCGCAAAAGGCGAGCGCTCGCCGCCGCTACGGCGGCGGCAGCGGCCGACGGCCGACGGCCGACGGCCGACGGCCGACGGCCGACGGCAGACGGCAGACGGCAGACGGCAGACGGCATACGGCCTAGGGCTCGGCTGGGCGCGCACGCGCACGCGCGCGCGTCGCGCGCACGCGTCGCTCCGCGAGGGCGCGCGCCAACCGCGATTCGAACCGGGGCCAAAAGGCGCCTGGAGCGACCGCGGTCCGGTCGCGCCACCGCGGCTGCGGGGCTGATAGAGCAGGCCGGCTGCGGCTCCTAATGTACCTCCACTTTTGGGTGGCGGTCGCGCGCTGCCGACGGCGCTCGCCGGCGCTACGGCGCTCGCGGCGCGCTCGTGGCGTTCAGGGCGGCTCCACACGCACACACACACACACACACACACACACACACACACACACACACACATGCACAGACACACAGCCCCTTCCCCTCCCCCCTCAAGGGCGAGGACACACACAGGCCGCACCTCTAGTGAGGCCCGCATAGTATGTGGGAGACTCGTGCCGCCGCCCCTGCCACCCCTGTGTCAGTGTGCATGTGCGAGAGACTGCCAGCGACAAGCTGGAGGCAGGTCGCTAGACTGAGATGAGACCGCCAGTGGATGTGGGAGTCCACCGCGCACCGCGCTGCGAGCCTGTCGTGTCCCTTGTCAGGAGCAGGAGAGCCCCACCTGTCCCCCTGATCGTCCTTCCAAAATCCTGCTCGTGCAGGTGGGGACCTTGTCCTCCTCCCCCATCCCTCGTTTGGCGTAATAAATAAATAAATAAAACGGACACCTCTACTAGGAGATGGGTAAAAAGGAACAGGTCCCCGCCCTGCGGTCTTTGTGCAGGGTTCTTTGTGGGTGTGGTCGGCGACTAGCCGGGGTCGTCCTCCCGATGGGGGACTAGCACTAGCCGTCTTCCACATGGTCCCTCGGGTCCCTGCTGCTCCTAATCTCGTCGTACATCCTCCTGCTGATCTCAGCAACATCCTGCTCCCTCCCTCGTCTCGCCCTGCGCGTCTGCTCCGCCTCCCCGTCGTCCGCCCTGCGTCGTCTGGTGACGGGTCCTCCATAGTCGGTCGAGGTCGCCGCCCTCCTCGTGCCTCTTCCCAACGTTCCCTCGGCGGCCGATGCCGTCTGCTCCGACTCCGCCGTCCCCGGGTCTGCCCTGCCCTCGTCTGCGCTAGCTTCTGTTTCGTCATCACTGATGTCCCTCCTCTTCTTTCTCCTCTTCTTGTATGCTTTGTACATCGCGTCGATTCCTTTTCGCGTGAGCACCAGCCTGAAGCCCGCCCAGCAGCTGAACCGCTCCCTAAGTCGGAGGAGCATCATCAGTCTCACCCACTTCGCTTGCTGCCCACTGTCTCCGCTCCCTCCCGCTTGAGCCACCGTCGCGGTCCTCGTTCGGCGTGTCTGTTTTCTTTCTTTCTTTTCCCATCTGGCGCCGGGCGCACCTGCTATGTTCATGGGGCGCGGGGCCTCCGAAACCATGTCAACGCCACGGACGGCGGACGGACGGACAGTGCGTATAGAGTGCGAGCATTGGAATAAGGTAGTCTTGCGCACTCTCGCTCTCCTCTCTCTGGTGTGAGTCTTGGTTACCTAGTCGAAAGCAAATCCTCGATGAAGTTCAACCCCTGCTTAGACGAGTACAGCTAAAGAGACCCGGGGCTCCCCATGCTCCCGTGTATGGGGGCCCGTGAACATCTTTAGCTTGTGAGCCAGGAAAAGGGCTGGACCTGGACTAAGTTTAAAGTAGGGACGTGTTAACTTCACAGAGGCGGCCGAGGAGCGAGTTGCGGATCCAGGAGCGACCCGATGGGTTTCTCGGGGTTAGTGCACCACTATTTTTTACCTTAAGATTTTTTTTGGTAATTTTTCAATTTCCCTCTCTCCAGAGAGATTGCTGATTGGCCTGTGAATTTTTGTCCCACATTGTAGTCCCCAGCGAGAAGCGGTTACATATCATCGGTGGCCCCACCAATGCGAAGGCAGCATGACGCCTGCGTCGCCGGGCTCAAAAGGTGCTACGCCCATCGAAGAGAGCTACCGCCTGGCAGCGCTTTACGTGCGTGATGCCGCCGAGGGTCGGCATGCCAATGGCCGTGCTGCCATGTCGCTGCGCCCAAAGTGGTGCCGTCGCGCCTTTGCAGTTCATATTTCGGACGCGTGGACTTACATCATCTTCTCAGTGTGCATCGCCCACACGCTGCTGATCCTGTGCGAACCTATCACGACCATCGACAAACCACCGGAGCGGGGCTACATCTGGCCTGATGAGACTGGCCTTGCCTCGGCGGCCCAGGCGCTCGACATTCTCTTTCTCCTCCTTCTGCTGTGCGATGTCATCCTAAAGATGACCTATATGGAGCCACGCAAGTGGTGGAAGAAGCGACCAAACCAGCTCTACGCTCTGCTCCTCGGCTGCCTCATCCTCGACAGCCTCCTCTTTGCCGCTGGCGGATGGCGTCCTCTGTGAGCCACAACGCCCACACTCTCTCTGTTTGCGCTCTCCGCGTCACCGGGCCCTTGCGTGTTAGGCGGTTCCTCTGTGAGCCACAACGCCCACACTCTCTCTGTTTGCGCTCTCCGCGTCACCGGGCCCTTGCGTGTTAGGCGGTTCGTGCGACCGACCCTCATCCTTGTGCGCAGCCGGACGCTGCGCCGCAGTGCTGCGTCCATTCTAAACATATGGAGGGTGCTGCTGTACGCGACGCTCTGCCTCGTCGCGGGCATGGTTCTCTTCGCTGCGACCGGGTGGCACTTGTTTGGTCCTGTGCCAGGGCAACCTTTGCCGCCGCCACCTCCATCTGCAGCTGATTCGATGCTGCCACTCAGCACCAACGCCTTTTCCGACATCGCGTGGGGTTTCTCATCTACGTTTCAGCTACTGACGACGGAGAACTTTCCTGAGGCTGCGCACTACCAGCACGTCCTGGGAAAGCAGGACCTCGGACCCTTTGCCATCGCCTACTTTATTGCCTCGTGGTACCTCCTGGCTTTCATCCTGCTTGCCATCATGACGGCGGTGATCGTCGACTCGTACTGGCTCGTGATGAGGGGGCAGCTCGCAAAAGAGGGAAGGAAGGAGCGCAAGACGCTGATGCATGCCTTTGCACTCCTCGACAAGGAGGGCAAGGGATACATTGGGATGCGCATCTGGGAGCGCTTCCTCCGCGAGCTGATGCCCGGAGCCTCAGGCACCGAAGCGCGCGTGCGGTGAGTGGCTCATAGCCGCCCGATAGGACCGATCCCGCATGCGGAGAGCGAGTTGCCTTCCACACTCGCTCGGCAGGTTTGCTCTGATGGACCTCGATCATCGCGGGCAAATCGACGCCATAGAGTTCATGCAGATCCGGTCACAGCTAGAGATGCGGCTGCACGAGCAGTCGGGCCCGTCGTTCGCTACCCACTCCGCCAGCCACCCGGCGCTCAAGTCGCTGCTGAGCACCGGTGGCTCGTTGCTTGACGCGTTTGCACGCGTTGACCCCCGCTGGCTTGAGCTCCTCGACATTTGCTTGTCCACGTGCCAATTTCTGCTCCTCCTGGCCCGCGACACTGCCACCGCCTCCTTCTGCTTCTTCACCGGCAGCGCAATCATCTTTGCCTTTCGCGCGGCGCTGCACGCGCGCACTGCAAGCTTGAGAACTCTGCTGATGGCGGACTGGTCGCGTTTCACGGACCTGTTGTTTTACTGCGTTGCCCTCGTGCTCTACGCGCTCATGTTCGCACGCGTCTTGCCGCCCGAGCTTTGGGCCTTCCTCCCCGAGCTAATCATTACGCTGAGGCTGCTCTACATCCTCCCCTTCTTTCATCGCGCACTGCCACTCCTGCTCCGAATCATGCCTATCATCTTCTCCCTCACCGTGCTGATTGTGCTCTGCATGTCCTTCTTTGCCGTTATCGGCATGGAGGCCTTTGCGGCCTGCAGCGTGTCCCAGGAGGCGTGGCTTGACAGTGGCGTGCGAAACGACTCGAACATCTACTACAACGCGTACAACAAAGAAACGAGGTCGTACTTTGCTGGCTTCCACCTCGCGATGCTCACCAACGTGCAGATCCTCATCACAAATGATTGGCACAAAGTGATGTTTGCGACGGGCGAGGCAGTGTGCGACGAGGCGGGCCGGACGCGCAGCATTAGCGCCCACATCTACTTCATCGTGGTCTATTACGTGTACCAGATCATCCTCTACCCCGTTCTGCTCGCCCTTGCAACCAATGCCTTCATGCGCTTCTCCTCCGAGAACGGCAAGGCGGGGAGCGAGGCCTCGAGTAGAGGCTCGGGCGGCTCGGGCCGGTCGTGGTCGGCGGTGGCGAGGGACACCGTCAAGGTGGACCTCATGCGGCGTGCAGGCAAGGACCGCGGCGCAAGGGCACGGCGCTGGGGACGCCCCCCAGCGCAGCAGCCGGCCCTCGGAGGGAGCGCCGACGCGGCCTCGTGGTCTAGCCGATGGAGCGCCGAGAGCAGCAGGCCAGCGCGTGGGTCGCGAGTCGTCCCGCTAACTCCGGCGAGTCCAGAGACGACGGCTGCCATGGACGACGAGGAGTCCGTCATTGGGGCGCGCCGCTGCAGCTCGGGGGAGCCGTCTCCGCAGAAGCGATCCGACGCCAACAACACCTGCTACCGCGTTCAGATGCTGAAGACGAAAAACTACCGATTGGACGGATGGCGGCGCGATCTCATGCGCGCTGAGCTTGGCGACGTCGAGGAGCAGGAGGCTGACGACCTCGCAAAGTCCGCGCGCATCGAGAGCGCCAAGATCATCGCGATGCTCCAAGCGAAGCGGTCGGGGTCGGAGGCGCGACCGTTGATGCACGCGCGCACCCAGGATCTGAATCAGTGGGCGCGAACCGCGCGGCGTGCCCTGCGTGGGTCCACCGCCTCCAGACCGACGTCGACGGCGGAGCGACAGGAGGAGCCAGGCACGGAGGCCCAACCTGCGGGCACGCATCCGGCGCCGGAGGCGGTGCAGAAAACCCCTAGCCGCGTCAAGTTTGCTGCTGAGCCGGATACGCACGGGGCGGCACCCCCGGCGGGACTGTCGCACCGGCGCGGCTTTACTTTCAAAACTCTCGCCGTGCCTGGCGACGAGGCGGATGAGGAGGCGCAGGAGGTGAGCGAGCCGTCGGTGGGCGTGGCAATGCGGCGCGGCTTGCAGAAGGCGCGCTCCGTCGTCCTCTTCAACGAGCTGGCCACGCCAGGCGCGCGCCACGGGGGCGCTGGATCGGCGCTTTCGGACGGCACCGTGCTCGTGGTCCCCGACTTTACGTACGAGGACGAGGACGGCACGGTGGAGGGCAGAGCCTCCAAGCATGTGCCGCCACCGCCCAAGAGCTCACCGCAGCGGCGGCTCCGCGTGACTGCACGCACGGGAATGGCGATGTTGCAGCTACGCTCTGCCGCGGCACCAGGCCGCTGATGACGAATACTTACTGTATACCTGAGACTGCAACTGTGACGTTTCTCCATGACCATGTGTATTGTAAGGTAAGGTAGTAGTTAGACAGGTTTGGTCGCAAGAGAAAAAGAGATCACCGACTGGCAGGGGTATCCTGCTATCCTCTCTGTGTACTGTGAGCGGATTGCGCGGCTCTTGGGGAGATGAGGTGAACCTTCTTTTGTACTTGGCTAGGATTGAGAGCAGCCTCGCTCTCAAACCTAGAAGTCGAAGGATTATGAGCAGCACTCCTCGCAATCGTAGCACCTCTGTGCGATTTATGTGAGCACCTACGCTCGCAATCCTACATCTACTCCGCTCCCAAGGTGACTGGTGACGCCTACGACTACTACCAGCGCGCTCACAATCCGAGCAAAGTCTAGGGTTGCGAGCAGCAGCTTGAGCTCACAATCCTAGCAACATGCCTCCGATTGCGAGCAGCGCTCGCAATCCTACCATCTTGTAGGACTGTGAGCGGCTGCGCTCACAATCGTACCAAAGATCCAAGGATTGCAAAATAAAAGAGCAGGCATCTCCTGGGAGAGATGGGCGACGCACGAACACAGAGGCACAGTGCGCACCCCGCCCCGCTCGCAGGGCGTGCATCACACAGGTGGACTGTGTGACTCCTCGGGGTTTCTGGGGACTCTTGCTTGACAGACTGTCTGGTATAGCCCCAGCCGACTCCGCGTGAACTCTCGAGGGATCTCGAGTTGCGGAGCTCCCTGCTGCTCGGTGTACGAACTCTGTTCACACCGAGCAGCTGGGAGTGGCTGCGGCTATAGCAGACAGCTTGACAGAGGTGTGCAAGGATTGCAAAAAGAGGTTTTGACCGCGCAAGATATAAATAAAGGGTGTCTAAGGGCTCTGCTCGCAAGGCGCCCGCGTCGCAGACGCGGTACCATTGACAAATCTGCGATATACCCCCACACGAGCAAATAGCAAAATCCGAATACCGTGTGCACGAAACTGCGTGATGTGCGCCGGGCAAGCCTTCAGCTGGTGCCAAGACATCCGTAAAATGCGTTTCGTGGGTAGTGATCTGATCACCCGAATACCACCCGAACGTGGTACTCTCATCGCAAACCCTGTCAGCAGTTCACCTTCGGGTACGAACGTAAGAGCTACATACAATGAGAGAGAGAGAGCACAACCCCCTCTCCCTTTTCTCCCAGTAAGCTAAAAGTCAATGAGAGAGAGAATTGAGCCAAGAACGTCTGCCAAATCCGTGCATTCGGCGGGGCAGCTTGAGGGAAGCCGCTGATCGAGCCCAGCGTGCCCGCGGCCGCCTCCCGCGCAGCAACGCCGCTGGGGACGACACGCTGCGGAATCGGATCGAGCCCATGGAGGAGGAGGGCGCAGTCGGCGAATTGGAGGAGGAGGAGGAGGGCGCAGTCGTCGACGTTGGCGTGTCTGACTCAGAGGAGGAGTTGGAGGTGCTCCGGCAACCTAACCTGATTCAGAAGCTCGCCGACGTTGTCACTCAACGTGCGTCATGCGTGACCGAGCTTTGAGGGAGGAGCTCCGCTAACGATTCGGCCGGCCACCCAACGCCGCCGCCCATACCCGCCACCCACAAAGCGCCTGCTCTACTATCCCGTACCACCCGCTCCACTTTCCACGGATCATGCCCGTGATAGCACCATCACTGCCGCCGTCCTGGTTTTGAACGTGGCAGCTAGACTCTAAGGGACTCGGTAGTTGTGACCCCTCGTGAGTGAGGAGCAGGAGAGGGTGCTTTTGAGTTTTGTGGTGTTGGTGTACGCAATAACGGGACAGGGTAGTCGTTCTCTCTAGCTCCCCTTCTAGCTCTTAGCATGAGCTGCGCCCTGTGTCCGACCCCTTTGGCGCAGCAACACCTTGAACTTTTAGGCCCTCCAAATTCGGGTCAGAGCGTATAGCGGGTGTGGGCCAAAACGCACACACCAAACAAGGGGTGGGAGAAGGACAGGGTCCCCACCTGCACGAGCAATTCCCAGCTCGCCGCGAGTTATTCTTCTCCTCGCTTTCCCGGGTGCAGCGCGTGCCCACGCCCTGTGTCGGACATGGCCCCGAAGAAAGGCAAGAAGAGCGAGCCGGCCGCGGCGGCTGTACAGCCGCCGGCGGCCGCTGGCGGCCCCGAGGAGGAGGCGGAGGACGTCGAGGAGACGGCGGGAGGCTCAAAGGAGCAGCAGAGGGAGGGCGGCGACGTGGCAAAGCTCACCGACTACGTGGAGCAGAGGGAGATCGACTCGGCGCGTGCGACGCAGGCCGTCGCGTCCATCCTGGAGGGCAGCCAGACCGCGGCCGAGCGCGAGGCGGAGATAGCGCGCGAGCGTGAGCTCGCCGCTGTGCAGGTGGATGCGGCGGACGTGGCGCTCATCGTGCAGGAGCTTGAGCTGGAGTCGTCGATGGCGGAGCGGAAGCTGCGCGAGCACAATGGCGACGTGGTGGAGTGCCTGCACGCCCTGGTATCAGAATGAGGCTGCCGCCTCGGCGGGGCAGGCTGCCGCCTCGGCGGGGATTATTGGTCGATATCATGAGCATATGGGAAACCACAAAGTCCAAGCGCGCGCATAAGTCGAACGCGTGTGTGCCTGATTCTATACGTAAAACAAATATCGCAGTAGTGAAGCGGCTGCCCCAGAACAGCGGGGAAAGATCGCTCTCACGCCACGCCGAGCTCCGCCAACGCCGCACCCGGGTCCCCCTCGTGCCGCCGCAGCAACTCGACCGCCGCGTCGCGCGTCACGTCGCCCTCGGCCGCGACCAGCTCGACCAGCTTGACCGGCGGCTGCCACTCCCGCCTCGCCGCGGCCGCCATCTCAGCCTCCACGTCCCGCGGAGGCGGCGCCGCCCGCGGGTCCGAAGGTGCACGCCTCACGCCCCTGCCCCCACCCCCTCCGGTCGCACTCTCGCGCCGCGCCTCCTTCCCCGCCTCGCCGCCCGCCTGTTCGCCGCCCGCGCGCCGCACCGTCCGCAGCGAAGAGAGCCACGCCACGTCCTCCACCGGCGCCGCCTCGCCCTCCTCGAGCTGGTCGAGCCGCACCGCACCGTACCTGCTCGCAAAACGGGAGGTGTGTCAGGGACGCTGCGACGGGAGAGGCGAGGGGAGAGAGAGAGAGAGGCGTGTGCGCGCCTCTCGCGGTGCAGCGCCACCACCGGGTGTCCGCAGTTGGCGAGCACCCGGCGCACCATGCGGTACTTGCCCTCGCGAAAGACGCAACGCACCCGCTGCCCCTCGACGGAGAGCAGCTCGCCTTGCACCACGAACGGCTCGCCCTCCTCGACCGTCTCGACGCCTGCGGCCAGCCGGCCGCGCAGCAGCTCCTCGTCGACGGCGCCCTCCACCGTCGCGACGTACTCCCGCTCCACCACATACTTTGGGTGCAGCAGCCGGTGCGTCAGGTCGCCGTCGCGGCAAAAGAGGAGAAGGCCGGTCGTGTCAGCGTCGAGGCGCCCGACGGGGTGGAGCGCCTTCTGCCACGGCTGGGGCAGCACCGAAGCCAGGTCCGGCCGGCCCTTGTCGTCCTTCATCGACGAGACGACGCCGAGCGGCTTGTGGTACGCGGCGAGGAGCGGAGGCGGCGGGTAGTCAAAGCCGTCCACGAGCGGACACGCGTCCCACGGCACCTTGAGCTTTCCGCCGCTCTTGCCGACCACCTCGTACGAGCCCGTCTCGGGGTTCTCGAGCTCGACCAGCCCCTTCCGGATCAGCCGGTCCACATCCTTCCGAGAGCCAGCACCTCTGTCCGCCAAAAGCTTGTCCAGCCGAACGAACCCGCCGGCGCCTCCGCTCATCATGCGCAGCCGGCCGGAGCGCTGAAGGAGGCCGACGCTGGCGACCAGGAAGAGCATTTAGACAGCGCCGTCGTCTTTCTGTGTGCTACCTCCTGTATCGGAGTTATGGTCCTGATACGACCTGTGAACGTGAAGAGAGTGGTACCAGCACTGTCGATCGTTACGGCACGCAAGGGGGGCCTCCCGGACGTATGATCCTAGCCCAATAAGTTCCACGGAGCAGATTTGGATTTTTGACAGAATTAATGCACTGTCCCCGCACGATACTAACTATCGTAGTTTTGGTCCCGGTGCCCTTCACGACACCACACCGCCGCTTGAAGGCCCGAGATTAGCCTAGCAGTGAGTGGGCATCGCCTGCCGGTCGGCTGGGCACGAGCCAAGCACTTGGGTGGCCGTCGACCGAGTCCGAGCGGCGCCTGAGGTGGGTGCCACGGCGTCTGCACGAAGGCGTGGCGGGGTGAGGAGCCAGGAGTGGTGAACACCTCCCCGTCGGGCGCGCGGCGCGCCGGATGGTCCGCCGAGGCCGCCGCCGCCCCGACGGCGGCGATGAGGGCGGCGGGGCCGACCCAGCCGGCGTTTGTCGGCTCCACCTACAGAGAAGCAGCCTCTATGGGTCGACGATACTAACTCGGTAGTAACGCGGAGCGGTGCTGTGCGGCGCCGAGTCGTGCGCGAGGCGACCTCCTGAGGCTACCTGAGCTGGCAATGGATGCCACCAGGACGCACGGCTAGCAGGAGCCAGTCAGGCATGCCCTGCTGTGGAGCAGAGCCAGCTGGCGCACCGGCGATACTAACTCAGCGCGCCGCGAGAGGCGAATCTGGGCGACTTTGCAGGCGCAGTTCTCGAGCTTGCCGTCGACGATTGATGTCGGGTAAATTGTCACTGCCGTCCGGGAAGGTCTTCTCTCAACAGGCCGAGCGCCGTGGCCTGGCTCGGCTCGCCGCGGGCGCCACGAATTTATCAGGACCAAAACTCACGAGACCTCGATACTAACAAAGACTACGATACTGGAGGTATAGCCGCAGTCCCAGCTGCTCGTGAACAGAGTTCGTACTCCGAGCAGCAGGGAGCTCCGCAACTCGAGATCCCTCGAGAGTTCACGCGGAGTCGGCTGGGGCTATACCACAGGTCGTCTTTCTGCTGCGTTGGAACGCGAAAGAAATATTGCTCCGCTCACCGCTGTGCGCTGAACAAACCGCACACCCTCATTTCCGTCTCGCACCCCGCGGCAACTCCCCCAAACCGCCCACCCCCTCGAGATCTCGAGTCTAGTCCTCCAGCCACATGAGCGCCACCCAGCAGCTCTCCCGCAGAATCTCCTCGGCGTGGCCGCAGTACGCGCGGAGTGTCTCCACCGCCTGCGGGGTGCCGATCGCACCGAGCGCCTCCGCCGCCTCGTGCCGCACCATGCCGTGCTCGCCCTCGCGCCGCACCGCGCCGCACAGCGCGTCGCCCGCCGCCGGGTGCTCCAGCTGGCCGAGCACAAAGGCAACCTCGTGCTTGAGCAGCGCACTCTCGCCGCCGGCGCGGCCGAGGCACTCGCACAGGGCGGCGACCGCACCGGCGCCCTCGCGCGGGACCGCGTCGCGCAGCGCGAAGAGCGCGCGGTACCGCTCAAACAGCGGCGCGCCGCGGTCGAGCAGCCGCGCGCGCAGCTCGGGCAGCGGCGCCGCCTCCGCGGCCGGCGCGGGAGAGACGTACGTGTAGGTTGGCGCCGTCGGCTCGGGCGGGGCGGGCTGCCACGGGCAGGCCGCGGAGGAGGCGTCTGCGTCCGCGTCCGCCGCCGCCGGCCCGCCGCCGGCCGCCTCTGCCGCCTCCGGCGCGGCGGTGGCCGCCGCCTGCGCCTCCTTTCGCAGAGCCTCTTGCGGCCGCCGCTCGCAGCCGCAGGCGCCCTTGTCGATCTTGTAGTTGAGGAGGGCGAGGGCGAGGCCGCACGTCTCCGACACCTCCGACGCGTCGTCGGCGGCGTGCTTGGCGAGCACGCTCAGGCTCTCGGGCGCCTCGATCGCGCCGAGCGCCTCGGCCGCCTCGTGGCGCGTGATCGGGTCCTCCGCGCGGTCCGCGAGGAGGCGCTCGAGGAAGGGGACCGCGTCGACGCGCTGCATCTGCCCAAGCGTGTACGCGATCTCGTGGCGCAGCAGCACGGAGGCCGTCCCGTGAAAGAGAGCGACGAGCTCGGCGACGGCGGCCTCGTCGTTCCGGTTGCGGAGCACAAAGATCTGCGTGTACTTTTCGCAGCAGGCGGAGCGCGACTCGGCGGCCAGAGCCGGCCGCTGACCTGCATCGGCAGCGCGGCGCGCCGTGGGAGCAGCTGGCGAGTCTCGGGCGGTGCGGGCCAGCGCGAGGCCGGCTGCTACAAAGTCGAGCATCGAGACGAGCGGGAGGACCAGCAGCCGCAGCAGCGCCCGCACCGCCGTAAAAACGAGCGAGCGGTCCTCTGTGCGAAGCATCCCCAGGGCCGAGGGTCACTCTCACAGTCCCAGCGCACGCGCTTGCGCTGCCGCAATTTTTCTGACTTTGCACGCAGCTCTGCACGCAGCTCTCGTTCACTAAACGCACAACCCCGCTCTCGTTCACTAAACGCACAACCCCGCTCTCGTTCACAGCCTTGTTATTGAGAAGAAAATACCTCTTATGGCGCTGTGCGCTGGCCTGTGAGAGGTTGAGGTGCGAGCCCTGTTCACATAAACGCACAACCCCGCTCTCGTTCACGCAGACAAGAGAGAGGCTAGCTTGGGGGCGCGCCCGTCTCGACTCGAGCGGCGAAGGCAATTTTTCGGACTATCGGACTTAGAGAGCAAAGTCCAAAGAGAGAGAGAGAGACACACACACACACACACACACACAGAGAGTTTTTGTTTTGACTTAGAAGGGGCACGCACGTGTGTGTGTGTGAGTGTCAAGAATACTCACTCACAGGCACGCACGCAATAAGCTCTCGTTCAGGCAACAATCTAAGTCTCTCCTCTCGCGGCTCCTGCGTGGACGTATTTTTGTCTTATAAGGCAGGGCTACCGAGACACGTGCACTAAAACCTCCGAGAAACCCTTCGGCTCGCTGGGCCGCCTCGCTCCTCATCGCAAACCCTGTCAGCAGAGTAGTCATCCTCGGGAATGTACGTAAGAGCCACATTCAACGAAAACCAAATTTTTGGATCACTCCTCATCGCAATACCTGTCAGCAGTTCACCCTCGGGTATGTCCGTTAGAGTTAGCCATATTCGTACCTAAAAAAAATAAAGTCAGCAGCAAGGCAGGGAGTCGCTGTCGCCGGCGGCAAGAGGGAGTCCTCATCGGGCACTCCAACCCTGAGCCCTCGCCGCTGCCAAAGCCAAAGAGGGTCCTAATGCCCGCCGACGCGCAGTTTGCCGTCGGCTCGGTGGTCTTTGTGCCCGACGAGCAGCAGGCGTACCTCCCCAAGCGAGTCGCATCATGCACGGGCCTCGGCGCCCGCACCAAGCTCACCGTCGGGCCGCTCTCGGGAAGCGGCGGCGCTGCTGTGCCGGCAAAGGACGTCGCCGACGTCGTCGATGCGGACCCGCTCGCGCTGGAGGGGGCGCAGGACATGGTCAAGTTCTCCAATCTCACCGAGGCGGCGCTGCTCCACAACCTCCGCACGCGCTACAGCCGCGACCAGATATACTCGGCCGCGGGCGCGATCCTGCTCTCCGTCAACCCGTTCAAGCAGATCCCGGGCATCTACACGGACGAGGTGACCCGGCGCTGCCAGGAGGCCGACGCCAAGGCGCTCCCGGACCTGCCTCCGCACGTGTACGGGCTGAGCGAGAATGCGTACCGCGGCATGCTCGGTGAGCAAAAGCAGCAGGCGATCCTCATCTCGGGCGAGTCCGGCGCGGGCAAGACGGAGGCGGCGAAGGCATGCGTCAAGTACATCTGCGCGCGCTCGACCGGGGGCGGCGGCGTCGGCGGGGGCGCGAAGCTGCTCCGCCAGGGCTCGCACGAGGAGTTTGTGCAAAACTGCATCGTCGAGGCGCCGCCTTGGGAGCCGGGGAGGGGCGGAGGCGTGTCCGGCCGGCCGAGACGCGGGCGCGGCGTTGCCCTCCGTAGGCCAACCCGATCCTCGAGGCCTTCGGCAACGCGAAGACGCTGCGCAACAACAACTCGTCCCGCTTTGGAAAGTGGACCGAAATCCACTTTGACGCGGGCGGGCAGGTCCCGCCTCCGAGAAGCTTCCGAGAAGCCTCCACTTAAGCCCGCACGCCCGCGCTCCACCCGCGCTCCGCCAGAGGTCGCCGAGCACCACACTCGCACGCCCTCCGCCTGTCGCCGCTCGCAGCTCCCTCCCCGGCCTCGCTCTCCATGCCCCCCCCCCCCCCCTCCCTGCCCGCCCGCTTCAGATTCGCAGCGCGCGCTCGACGTCGTACCTGCTCGAGCGGTGCCGCGCCGGAGCGGTGGCCGCGCCCCCCGCACGGCGGGGCGCCGACGCCGCGGGACGTGCGTCGCCGTAGGTCTCGCGTGGTGGAACACGCCCGCGGGGAGCGGACGTTCCACATCTTTTACCAGCTCTGCGCCGGCGCGACCAAGCAGCAGCGCGACGCGCTCAAGCTGCCGCCCGCAGGAGAGCTGCGCTACCTCGGCCAGTCCGCTTCGCTCTCCGTGCCGGGCATCGACGACGCCGCCGACTGGCGCGCCGTCTGCGCCGCCTTCTCCACCTTCCAGCTCACCGACGCCGAGCAGACGAGCTTGCGCCGCGTCCTTGCCGGCGCCGCTCCGCCCCACCCAACCCGACGCACTCACCCACTGTGGCGGGGAGGCTGGCGGCACGACACGCGGTCTGCACGCACACGCACGCACGCACGCACGCACGCACGCACGCACGCACGCACGCACACGCACGCACGCACGCTTGCACGTGCTTGGAGAGGAGGGGAGCCGACAGGCAGGAGGGGAGGCGGGGAGGCGGGAGGGGAGGGGAGGCCGAGGGAGTTCGCCCCGTGGCGGGCAGCGGGCGGGAAGGGGTGGGGGCGGCGGGGGGGGGCGGGGTGTGGGGTCGGCCCGGCGTGGAGGGCGGTCTAAAGAGGCGAACGGCGCCGAGGCGGGAGGCGTGGCGGCCGGCTGTAGGCATCCTCACCCTCGGCAACCTCGCCTTCGACGCCAAGGAGATGGCCAACGCCGACGACGGGTCGTGCGTGTCGCCGGCGTCGCAAGCGTCGCTCAAGGCGGCGGCGGCGGCCCTCGACATCTCACCGCTCGAGCTCGAGACGGCGCTCACCATCAAGAATGTGGGCAAGTTCCCGGTGGTTGCGGTGCCGCAGCCGCCCGAGAAGGCGGCGGTCGCGCGCGACGCGCTCGCAAAGGCGCTGTACGGCTCGCTGTTCGACTGGATCTTCGGGCGCATCAACGAGAAGATGGGTGCGGGCGCGGGCGCCGCGCTGGGCGGCGGGAACAAGCGCACCATCGGGCTGCTAGACATTTTCGGGTTCGAGGCCTTTTCGCGCAACTCGCTCGAGCAGCTGCTGATCAACTTTGCGAACGAGAAGCTGATGCAGTACTTCAACATCTACATCTTCCAGATGGAGGAGAAGGAGTGCCGCGACGAGGGCGTCGCGTGCCCGCAGCTGCAGTTCGCCGACAACTCGGCCGTCATGGTGCTGCTCGAGGCCAAGCCGACGGGGCTGATGGCGCTGATCCACGACGAGGTGCTCGTGCCAAACGCCTCCGACGCCAACCTGCTCACCAAGATGAACGAGGCGCACCGCGGCGCGTCCATGTACCGGCAGATGCCGCGCGCCCAGGGCGAGGGCTTTGTCGTGCTGCACTTTGCGGGCGAGGTGGCGTACGCCATCGACGACTTTGTCGCAAAGTCGCGCGGCGCGGTCCCCTCGGAGCTGTCGCAGCTGCTGGGCACCTCGCAGCTGCCGCTCGTGCGCGGCTTCTTTGCGGCCGACGAGGAGGGCGGCGGCGGCGGCGGCGGCGGCGGCGGCGGCGGCGGCGGCGGCAAGCCAAAGGGCGAGCGGACGATGTCCTTCGCGCGGCACCGCGGCGGCGGCGGCGCGCGCGCGCGCCTCGGCGGCGGCGGGCGCAAGGTCGTGTCGGTCGGCCGGCAGTTTCAGGAGTCGCTCGACTCGCTGATGGGGATGCTGCACACGTGCTCGCCGCACTTTGTGCGCTGCATCAAGCCCAACCACCACCTCGCGCCGGACGATTTTGACGGCGCGTACGTGATGCGGCAGCTGCAGCAGATGGGGATGGTTCACGTGGTCAAGGCGCGCAAGCAGGGCTTCGCGCACCGGTACGACTTTGACACCTTCATCGCGCGGTACGGCTACCTGCGCGAGGGGGTCGAGTGCGACGCGGCGAAGCTCGCGCCGTACCTGCAAACGTACCTCGGCTCCGCCTCTCCGCCCGCCGGCACAAAGACCGAGACGGTGCAGCTCCTCGGCGCGCTCGCCGCCGCCGACATGTTTGCGACCGACGGTTGGGCCGTCGGGACGACGAAGCTCTTCCTCAAGGCTTCGCACCAGCAGCAGCTCGAGGTCGCGCGCGAGTCGCACCTGCGGCGCGTCATCACGCAGACCCTGACCAAGGCCATCGCCGATCAAGACCTCGCTTCCCTCGACGAGGCGGTGGCGAGGGCGGTCGAGATCCGGCTGACGGGCAAGCTGGTCGAGGAGGCAAAGGCGCTGCTCGCCACGCTGCGCGAGCGCGAGAAGGCCTTCGAGGCGCTGACCGAGGCGATGGAAATGCGCGACGTCGCCGCGGTCGAGGCGGCGCTCAAGCAGGCGGCGGCGGTGCGGCTCGAGAAGGACGCGAAGAAAGGCGCGCAAAAGGTCAGCGACGCAAAGGCGCTCCTGACGCAGCTCAAGGCGCAGCAGGTCGCCTCCAACGCGCTCGCGGCGGCGCTCGCCTCGAAGGACGTCAAGAAGCTGCGCGACGCGCTCGACGCGGCGCAGAAGAGCGGCCTCAACTCGGGGCAGGTGACGCAGGCGCAGCGGATGCTCGAGGGCCTCAAGACCAAGGACGCGCTCGAGAAGAAGCTGGCGGCCGCGGCCAAGGGCGGCAGCCTCGCCGAGCTGACGCAGCTCCTGGCGCAGGCCGAGGAGATCGGGCTGTCGACCGAGGCCGCGCGTGCGGCGAAGCGGCGCCACGCCTCGCTGCAGGAGAGCGCGCAGGCCTCGTCCGCGCTGCAGTCGGCCAGCACCGCCCGCGACGAGGAGGCGCTGCGCGCCGCCATCGAGCGCGCCAGCGCCGCCGAGCAGAACCAGGCAGCGGCGGAGCGCGAGAAGGCGGCCATGAGCGCCGAGCTCGCGACGGCGAAGGAGCTGCTCGCCAAGCTCGAGGCGGAGCACTCCACGGTGCTCGCCACGCCGCCACGGGGCGGCGCGGCGGCCGCTCGCGGGCTGCCGACGCCCTCCGGCCCGGTGTCGTACGTGCCCGGTCCGCCGGCGGGGCTTCCGTGCGAGCCGCTGGCGGCGAGGGTGGCGCGGCTGCAGCGCGGCGCCACGTTCCTCAAGGTGGCGGAGGGCACCTTCACGCGGAAGAAGCTCGACGCCAAGGCGGTCGCCCTCTCCGCCGACCGCAAGTCACTCACGTGGGACGGCGGCAAGAAAGGCCACGGGCTCGAGCTCTCGCAGGCGCGGCCCGCGGGATGCAGCCGGGATTGTAGCCGAGGGTGTAGCCGAGGGTGTCGCCGAGAGAGCGCAGCGGAGGTGCAGCCCGGCCCCAGCCGGAGAGACGCGCCGCGGCCCTCTCGCAGGTCGTCCGCGTCTCGATCGGGCTCGAGACGAAGCCGCTGCAGAAGCTGTACCACTCATCGGCCGCGCCGGACGTGGCGCCGACCAGCTGGTTCTCGCTGCACACCGCCGCGCGCTCGTACGACTTTGGCGCGCGCGACGGCGACACGGCCGAGACGGTGATCCTCTGGGTGCTGACGCTGCAGCAGCTGGTCCTCCTCAGTAGCGGTACCGGAGTGCGGCTGCCGGCAACGGCGCTCTCGTACGCGCAGCAGCAGTGGCAGTACCACAACTCGTCCGCCAAGGAGTGGCCGTGCGTCCAGTGCACGTGCATCAACAAGCCGAGGAACACCGCGTGCGAGGTGTGCGGCGCGCCCAAGCCGATGGTGACGCTCGTGCCGACGGTGACGCCGCTGCTGCCCGCGATGCGCGCCCTCTCCAACACGCTCGGCATCGACGCCTTCAACCTGAGCCCCGACGCGCGGCTGCAGTGGTTCCTGCTCAAGGCGCTCGAGCCGCCGCCGCCCTCCCCGCTGGTGTGGTCGGTCGGGCACCGGCAGGGCGACGGGGAGACGCCCTTGCTCGGCCTCGCCAACGCCGACGGCACGGGCTTCAGCGTCGACCACGCGTACATCCTGTCGCTCCGGCGCGAGGCGGAGACGGCGCGCCAGCAGCAGGCGCAGGCGGGCGGCGTGCTCACGCCGCGCCCGCAGTTCGTCGCGCCCGAGGGGCCGCTCTCGCGCGAGAACTCGCGCTCGCTGGGCGGGTACGAGCTGAGCGACGCCGAGGCGCTCGAGCAGGCGGCGCTGATGGCGTCGCTCGACCAGGTCGGCCTGCGGCAGGGCGCGCACTCTTACGAGGAGGCGCACGCGCTCGACGCGGGCGACGTGTTCCGTCACTGCATGTCCGGCTCGGTCGAGGAGGTGCGCCGCTTCCTGCAGCAGGGCGGGCACGCCGACACCGTCTACAAGTCCGACTACGGCTGGGCCGTCGGGCCCGACTACCTCTTCACGCGCCCGACGGAAAACATCACGCTGCTCAACTACGTGGCCACCTGGACAGACATCGTCGGCGAGGCGTCCGCCGAGCTCGCGCGGCTGCTCCTCAACGCGGGGGCCGACCCGCGCCGCGACGACGGCCTCGAGCAGTGGTTCACGCCGCTGCACAACGCCGTGGCCAACGGCGCGCACGACGTGGTGCGGGTGCTGCTCACGCACGACGCAAAGCTTGTCGACGTCACCACCGGAGAGGGGCAGTCGTCGCTGCACCTGCTCGCGCTCTGCGACGACGCGACGGACCGGATGGTGACGCTCGAGCTGCTGCTTGGCGCCCGCGCCTCACTCAACATGCAGGAGCCCTTTGAGGGCGGCACCCCGCTGCACACGCTCGCGCGCGAGGGCTTCGTCGCCGTGGCGGCGCGCCTGCTCGAGGCGGGCGGCGACGCGTCGATCAAGAACGACGCGGGCCGCAACGCGCTCGAGGAGGCCAAGTACGAGCTCGACCGGCTCGAGCGGCAGACGGACGGCGCCTCGTCGGCCACGCGGCGCGCAAAGATCCTCGAGACGATCAACACCCTGAAGATGGTGCTCTCAGTCCAGTGAGGCGGAGAGGGGCCCGGAGAGGCTGCCGCGTCGTGTGTGTGTGTGTGTGTGTATGTGTTCGGTGTGTGTGTGTGGCGGAGAGAGAGAGAGAGAGAGAGAGAGAGAGAGTCAAGAGAGTCAGTCAGAGACACAATGTGGGCGCCCCCCGGGAGGGGCCGCGCCGCTGTTGGGTCGTCTCTCTCGGGGTTGATTAGAAGTATTCGATTTTGGCACGGGCGGGGACTCCGGTGGTTCTCTCCGGAGAGCAGCGGAGTGCGCGGAGAACGTAAAGAGTAATAAAAGTCGGGGCGCGAGACGAGAGGGGTGGCAAACGCAAAGTGCGTGCGCATCCTCCCACGTACACGAAAGAAAACCAATCATTCCTCCACAGCCAGGGAGCTCGCGGCGAACGACAGCCGCTCTAGCGCCCTCCGATCCAAGGCTGGCTGCAGGCACCAGAGGCGCGCGGCGCGCGCGAGGAAGCCCGGGGTTGCGTCGCCGCGCGCCGATGGCGCGAGCAGCGGCAGCAGCCGAAGCTTGAGCTCCATCTCGCGTGAGAGGGCGCGATCGACCTGCACGGGCGAGGGGAGGGAGGCACGCACGCTGAGCGGGCGGCGCGAGCCTTGGCCGCGGCACAGACGCGAGCCCGGCGTGGGTATGCGCGCATCTAGTGAGGCGCTCGCGTCGCGCAGCCACCCAAGCAACGTCGGCGCCTCGGGCAGCAAGCCCTGCTCCGCCAGGACACCGCGCCCGGCTCCAATCACGACGCTGGCCGGCTCCGAAGCGAGCGCAAGCGCCTCCTCTTGCGGCAGCGAGTGCTGCAGCCTCGTGTACCGCTCCCACGAACGACCGTGGAGTGCCGCCGCCTCCAGCTGCAGCGCGCCAAACCGCTCCACCGATGTGTTTAGTGCCGTGCGCAGGTTGGAAAGTCCACGCTCGTGTCGCGCTCTTAGCGCGTCGATGGCGGCCACGTCGCCTGTCCGAAGCAACGCGCCGAGCGCCTCTGGCCGTGTGCGGTGCGCCGACGGCCCGAGCAGCGTGAGCCGGCCGTCGAACTCGATCGCTGCGGCGAGGAGCGTCTCGCTGTGCGCCTGCTCGGCGCGCCACGCCCGTGTGATGCGCAGCGCCGCCTCAAAGGTCTCACGCCAGAAGCTTGCGTCCATCGGCGCGGGCTGCTTTTTTTCTCATGAAAACTGTTGGTGAGAGTGTGAAGTCTGTTGTTTGTTGTGCCCTTGTTTGTTCTTCTGGTGCCTTGGAGTGCTGGGGGGGGCGACAGGGAGGATGTGGCCCTGAGTTATGTGTACGCCTACTCAGGGTGTGTGGCAGCCAGCTGGCTGCGTGTCTTGTGAGCCTGTTTTGTGTCTGTGTGTCGCTCGTGCGTGTCGTCATCATCTGTCTAGCGTCCACCCATACCGCGTTGGTGTCCAGTCCGAGCCTGGCTGTTCTTCACCTTTCTACCTACCTACCTACCCCACTCGTGTATATAGAGAGATGTCCCTGTTGAGTACTGTCCGATAGTCGAGATGCCTTGTTCCAGAGGGATGTGTCCTGGACGGCGTCTCGTCGTGGTCCTTCAGGACGATAGCTTTGTCCCTTTCAGGATGATGGTGATCTTGGTTTGATCGTTCCTGTACGCCTCGGTACAGACCCTCGCTCCGTGTACAGCTCACAGCTCACTACATGGTTCCTCCGGCGAGATCGCGGAGCGAGGAGATCGACGGCAACTCGGCCGTCGTGAGTGCTGGTGCGGTCGCTGCGGTGCGACCGCACAGCTTCCCGGCTAGCGCTCGATACGGTAGCCAGCACCATGGACACCTGCGGGGTGTTGTGGTGGCGGGCAGGGCCAGAGCCCCTGCACAAAGTCTTCTCGGCACCTCGGCCGGAAGCCTGCTCGGCACCTCGGCCTTGCAGCCCTGCAGCATGATCCGGATGATCTCTGCGGCCTGTTCATCTTCGGCACCCACCACGAGCACCTCGGCTTCGTGGGCACGGATCTTCATTGATAACTTCATCTCTCCTTCTCCACTGTATCGGCTCGCTATCATCTCCTGCGAGCCACCATCGCCGCCGCCGCCAGCTCTCGAGCCCGTCAAGTTCCCTGCTCGGGAGAATGTTGGACGCCTACTCTCACCGCCATCAACTCCATCGCCGCCGCCGCTCTGGACGATGGCAACCTTCTACGACCAGAGCTTTGCGCCGCTGAAATATGACGACGGTGGCACTCTTCTGTCCAGGATCGCGGCAACTGCCACATCGTGGGGGAGGCTGGGACATTGGTGCGATGTGGCGACGCTGCGTCTTTGCGGTATTTCGCCCTCCTCTGCCTTTCGCCTCTTCGCTTTCGCTCTTCCCGCCGCCCGCCGCCTGTGGCGCGGCATCCGACGAGCCCTCCTCGTCTACACGACGACTTCGCCCGAGCCCGTCATATCCGATGCCTTCGCCGCCGACACGAACAGGGGCTCCACCGCTGAGCCACGATGGGTCTCGCCTATCGAGGTCGCCAGCGGCCACCCTCGCAACTACGCCCTCGAGAACTTCAAAGTGATGCTCTGCGACTGCTTCTGCGTCCTCCCCAAGTCGCTCCGCGCGCACGACCTCACCCCCACTCGTCTCAAAAGCATCAACCTCGGCCACGACCCGCGGCGCTCCAAATACCTCGTCTACATCCCCGCCGTCCGGCGGATCATCTCTACCGCCGACGTCATCTTCGACGAGTTCTCCTTCACCACCCTCGGCGGCGCCTGGCAACCCTTCAAGATCCGCGGCGCCGTCGAACAAGAACGCCCTCAAGTCCCCGAGGCGATCGTCCGCGCCGAGCCTCCCGCCGCACCAGCGGCGCCAAGCAAGGGGCGCGCCCATCGCCCCGCCCGCCGCGCGAGCTGCGCCCGCTCAGCCCGCCGTCCCGCGGCGCTCACCTCGGATCGCCGCGCGCGGCTGACCAAGCTCTACTACTCCCACGTTGTTCAATTGAAGACATCCAGTCGACCGCTCCGATAGTCTACTACCTTGAGCCCGGGAGACGGAAGGTCACATGCCACGTTCACTAGCTCGCGCCTCTGATCAGCGTGACAATTACTTGCTTCACACTCCGCTGTGTTGTCTGCCGCATCTGAAGACCGCGCAGACAATGGGGGAGTGTTGGGAGTGTGAATACCCCACTCGTGTATATAGAGAGATGTCCCTGTTGAGTACTGTCCGATAGTCGAGATGCCTTGTTCCAGAGGGATGTGTCCTGGACGGCGTCTCGTCGTGGTCCTTCAGGACGATAGCTTTGTCCCTTTCAGGATGATGGTGATCTTGGTTTGATCGTTCCTGTACGCCTCGGTACAGACCCTCGCTCCGTGTACAGCTCACAGCTCACTACAAAAACGCACACGAGACAGTGAACTGGGTGTCTGGGTCCCAGGAAGGCGAACGCCATGTCTGTTCACGTGAGTGTGTGGTGGACGCAAGACGGGCGGTTTCCACACAAGACACAACCGGATTAAAGGTTTAAAGCAGCCTGCCTCTGTCCTCGGCGCCGCCACACCCCGGGCATGTCGAGCTATAGGCGCTCCTAGGACCTAGCAGCCTCTGCCCAGTGCTCCTCCGGCACCCAAGGTACAAAATGTTGGGAAGATTGATTGATTAGGTTAGGTTAGGCAGACAATTGATAGACAGATAGAAGAAAGGCGAACAACAAGAGCCCCCACATGAAACGAAAATCGGCGGTTAGTGGTGCGCTAACCTCCGAGAAACCCTTCGGGTCGTTCCTCATCGCAAACCCTGTCAGCAGAGTCCTCCTACGGGAATGTACGTATAAAGAGCTACAAACAAAAAAAGAAAGAAAAAACAAAACCATTGACGATTTTTTACGGTTACATGCCTCTGCGCCCGGTTGCCACAGCCCTGTGGAGGTGCGTGCCCCTGGATGATGGAGAGCGATGGGGAGGGTGCAGGCATCTATGAGGCGGACGGCGACGAGGACCGCGCGGAGGAGGAGCCGGAGGAGGAGCCGGAGGAGGAGCCGGAGGAGCCCCCGCCGGCCGAGGCCCCACAGGCTGACCCCAAGAGCGACCGCGCATTCCTGCTCCCGTCGCTCTTTCGCGATCGAGCGGCGACCGTGTGGCTAGACTATCCGGCCTACATGGGAATGCAGCGCGAGCAGGGGCGCGGCGTGCTTGTCGAGCTCACCGATCCACGGTGGTCCCCTGCCGTCGCCAGCGGTGGCCAAATTCTCAACCTCGGCTGACTGCGGCCGTCCCGCCGTCGGTCCCCGTAGTCTCAAGCCACTCTACTTCCGTTCGGAGAAGAACATTAACTGCATCACCAACGCATGCAAGCGATCGGGCTTCAAACGGCTCATCAAGGGCCAGTCCTTCAATCTGTATTGGGGGCGCCACCTGAACGAGAAGGCGCTGCGCGCACTCAACCCTCACCAGGCCCGCTCAGCGCAGAGCCAGAGCGAATCGGGGGCGTAAATCTTGACGCAGCGCCATGTCGCCGTCAGGCGGTCAACCACTTCCCGGGCTCGTACGGGATTGGGCGCAAGGACTACCTGTGGCGTAACCTGAGCCGCATGCAGAGGCAACACGGCGAGCGGAGCCGACCCCTTGCCGCCTCGCTGGTGCCGGTGCTCTCAGGGAACTGAGTAACGAGAGGTCTCCCCTGTCGTCACAGGTGCCGCGTACGACTTTTGCGCAAAGTCGTACATTCTCCCTCGCGACCGGGAGCACTTTGAGCGCGACTATGAGGAAGGCACCGTGTACATTATCAAGCCGCCCGCTCAGGCCGAGGGAAGAGGTATCCGCCTCATCAACCGATCAGACCAGCTGCCCGGCAAGGGTGCGCGCGCGTGAGGTCGCAGCCTTGTGTGCGCGGCGGAGCGTGCCCACGCTCCCCCCTCCCTCTAGGCGTATCCGCCATCGTACAGCGGTACCTCGGCGAGCCCTACCTCATCAACGGGAAAAAGTTCGACCTGCGCATCTATGTCGCCGTCACCTCCTTTGATCCCCTCCGCGTCTACGTCTTTGAGGCGAGTCGCGACGCTTCGATAGCCACTCACTCGCTCGTGCTCAGACCCGCGTCGTCTCGAAATGTTGCAGGAAGGCCTCGCGCGCTTCGCCACCTCAGACTACCGGGCTCCCGGCGCCTCCAAGCGCTCCATCAAGGACCGGTACATGCACCTGACCAACTACTCGGTCAACAAGAGGAACGAGCGCTTCGAGCGTAACACAGACGCATCGCGCGACGACGAGGGCTCGAAGTGGTCGCTCTCAGCCACCATGAAGCATCTCGCCCAGGCGGGCGCCGACGTGCGGGCGCTGCGCGAACGGATCCATGACCTCGTCGTTAAGACGATCATCGCCGTGGAGGTGGCACACGCCCCCACCCGACACCGCGTTGCGAGCCACTCTGGCGGCCTTCCCCACCATTGCGCCACCGTCCGCAGCCATCGGTCGTGTCAAAGATGAACGCGGCATGCAACGGGCGAGCCGCGTGTTTTGAGCTCTTCGGGTTTGACGTGCTGCTGGACAAGGCTCTCAAGCCGTGGCTCATCGAGGTCAACGTTGCTTGCTCGCTCGCCTCCTCCTCCCCACTCGACAAGTGGATCAAGAACATGCTGATGACAGACCTCTTCCATCTGATCGGGCTGGTCCCCTTCCACAAGAAGGCGGCACCCCTTTCGCTGATGCTGCGCCAAGTCAACCCTTTTCCCCACCGCCCTGGTTTCGTTCTAGGCGCTCGCTGACGATGCCGAGGAGAAGCGACGCTCACGGCTGCTGCGTGCAGCAACCGAGCCTCTCAAGCGGCGGAACGTCTTTGAGCTGCAGGAGACGCCGATCGCGGCTTTGGACAACGCCGACCTCGGCGTCATCATGCAGGCCGAAGACGAGCTGAGGCGGTGCGGTCACTGGTGCCGGGTGCTGCCTTGCGACGGCATGGGCGATCGGTATCTCCCGCTCTTCGAATTTCCGCGTTACCGCAACACAATCCTCGCCAAATGGATGGCGTCGCAGGCGCACGCCACTCTCCCAGCCCCGCTCTCCAGTCTCTTGCGCCTCGTGCCCCGCATCTTGCCTTATTTTGGCCCTCGGCAAACCTCTCTCCTCTCGTCCTCGGTGCCAGGACTGGGCGCTGCTAGAGCCTCACCTCGACGTGAGTATCGCAGAGCGACTTGGCGTATCGACCTCACCCAGGCAGGCAGCCGCAAGCGCCTGCCGCACCACCACACGGTCGTCGGAGCTAGAGACGGCTCTGGCGACACGCCAGAGTCTTGTCGCTCGCCGCCCTCTGCTGAAGGCAAACACCGCTCCAGAGTCCGCCTTTGCTTGCGTCGGACGCACCAACGCGGCGGCGCCGCGAAATGGGACGCCGTCCACACGCGCTCCCGGTGCACGTGGCCTTCAGGTGGAGCCGCAGGGCGGGGGCGGCGAGTGCATCCCCATCCGCAGAGAGAGAGACGAAGCGAGGGGAGGCGCCGCGCGCACGAGCCCGGGTAGTCGAGGCGAGACGCACGTACTCACTTCTTTTTGAATATTGTATATATACGCCCAGCACGCGGGGCACACGCGCGGGCGGCGGCTTTTTCTCTGGGGGGTCGCGGGGGCCCTAGAGGGTATCCATGCGGGGGGGAGATGGGGTCGAACGGCCCGCCGCAGGCGCCGATTTTTTCGACATTTTTTTGCGCGATTTTTTACTTGTTTCAGGGGAATTCGGCGGAGATTGCGGCCATGCTATCACGCCTTGCGACAGCCTGTCGGCGCTGCTGGCCGTGCCCTGCTGCACAATTGATCACCTGCATAGCTCGCGGCCTTAGTATCAAGCATTCAGTGACGACCTGATCGTACGGTCAGTAGGAAGGCGTCCTTCCAACGTGTGCACGCTTCTGGCGCAATGCGCGTCGCCTCGGATTGGCTGCTGGCACTCTCGAGGCTATGCCTACGCAGCCTCGCGCGCATGGGCAGTCAAGAGGGACCACGCACCTTCTCAGGACAGCGCCGGTACCTCTCTCTTGGACCGGCAAACTTGGTGGTCTCGTGTCACCAATGTGGGACCAGTGCGGCATCGCGCCATTGACAGCTCTGAACTGCGCCTCACCACTGACCGGGAAGGCCGCCAAGTGGGCCAGCACAGGTCGCACATTGTGGCAGCAGTCAGCAGTGCATGTCTGATAGCTAGAGCAGCAGCGTCAGGGTCGCAGGGTCGGACGTCGTGTCAAGCCTCTCCGCCCGGCCGGCCGCATGCAGTTGCAGACGTCGGCCTGTCTGCTGTCTGGAGTGATCTGTCGGCGGTCAGTACGACCGATCAGGTCGGAGTTTTCTGATGGTTGGAGGGTCTATCTGTATGTGTACTTCTCGAGATCTCTCCAAAGCTGCCTTCTGATTAACCTAGCTTAATCGGGAAGTCGGTGCTAACGGAGACTAACGCCGTTACTCGACTAACGCGGGCCCGTTTCCGCACTGCGGCGCGGCGCACGGTGCCTCCGGGGGCCCCCGGCCCCGCGCCCCCCCACGCCCCAGAGGGCTTTTTGGTACGGCTTACGAGAACACAATGTGTTGCTCCGTTGGGGAGAGGTCACGCTTGCAACACATACACCGATACGAATCTGGCCTAAGTCTCTCGCCTTCCTTAGCTTCGGATGCGCTTAGCGCGCGCGACGAGAAAGTTGGCCGGCTGACCTGCAAGGAGGGGGGGCGGCGCAGGGAGAGGGTGAGCTGTGAGGCGGCGGCGGGCGGCCGCTGCCGCTCGATTGGCGCGCCGTGCTGCGGCCGCAGCGTGACTCCTGGCGGCACGTCGATGTGCTCGGCGCGGATGTCGCCGTTGTCGTGCCTCGCCATGTCGATCACGAGGTGCTGCGGGATGTTGTCAGGGTCGTGTAGCAGCACGGGGATGCCGAGCCGCGAGTAGAACTCGTGCACGTAGCCGCCCTGCTTGACGGCGGGGCACTTGATCTCGTTGATGAGCCTGCTGTGGAGCCGCCGCTTGACCGGGCTCCGCTGCGCGTCGCGTGGCCACCTCTGGAAGGTGATGTGGATCGCATGCGTGTCGTGCCCATTCTCAAAGCGCTGGATCTCTGCGGGGAGCGCGCGGATGATCTCGCCCTCGAGGCTGAGGTGCAGTGAGCTTAGCTCGAATCCCGGCTTGCGCATCAGTCTGTCGAGCGCCGCTCGCTCCACCCAAAACGGGACCTGCGGCAGCTTGTCACCAATAATGCAGCCAGGCGTTCGGCCCTGCTCCCGCAGCCACGCGTTTGCGCTACCGCTCTGCAGCTCCGGCCCGCGCCGATGCAGCGGGAGCGCCTCCGCAGCCGCGGTGCACACGCGCCGTAATGAACTCCGCGCGGTGCCAGGGCGGGCGATGAGTAGGCTGCGCAGCATGTGATCTTTGCCCGCCAGAACCCTGTATTTGCGCGACAAAAGAATTTTCACTGCGTGCCGACGTACCGCCACACGCGCTCGCGCACGCTCCCGTCGTTTAAAAAACGGAAAAATAACCGGATCCCGGACATCACGCCCAATACCAGTAATCGCGTAGCGGGTGGGCAGAGGTTCAGGGCACATGCCACAGGCAGGGCGTCTCGCCGCGCCGGGCACTCGAGTACTTCAAACGAGCGCAACCGCCTAGGAGCTAGGTGGGGGCGAGCGTGTCGGATCTGGCGAGCGGCTGCGCGTCGGGCGGAAGGGCGGTGCTGGTGGCGGTGCAGCACGCGGCGAGACGGCGCACGCAGCCATGGGCGGCGGCAAGCACGGCGCCCAAGACCAGAGCGCAGCCGTGGGCGGCGGTGGTGAGGGGCGGTGCGACGGCGGCGTAGAAGACGTCCGCCGCGGCGCACAGCACCAGCGCCGCGACCAGAGTTGGCGCTGGCCGCGCCGGCGGACGTCCGTGCGCCCGGTGCCTCGTCGGGATGCCAACCTCCTCGCCCCACACGCGAAGCGGGCCTGCGCGGAGCTCGAAGATGACGGCGTAGCCGGCGGCCGCATTCCAGATGATGGAGATGCCCGTACAGCCGATGACGGTGCACAGGCCGAGCTGGAAGGCGATGACGAATGCCAAGGCGCTGGAGGCCCAGCACAGCGACGCCCGGCTCGCCTCGACGTCACGCAGCTGCGCTCTGCCCGCTGCGAAGAGGACCACACTACAAACGACGTAGTTGATGACGATATCAGGAGTTGACCCGCCATACGAGAGGATATCGATCAGCTTGGCCATAAGTTTGGACCATGGAACTTTCGATGGACACGAACGCTCCAAGAGCTCAGTGCTCGCGTGGTCGGCTCGTGGTCGGCGCTTCGCTTCCAAGTCGAAGAAGAAGAAAAGCGGCTTGGATCTTTTCTTGTGGGCGGATTACTTCTTTCTCCAAAACCCGGGGAGCCGCTTTGGTGGCGCCGGCGCAAAAACTAGTCTGAGTCTCTGAGCTGCTGCACGACTAGTCTAAGTTCTCTGAGCGCCCACCTTAGTCGCTCTCCTACAATGCCCGGGTCCTCTGCCTGGACATTGGGCGTCGTGCTCGTGATCGCCGTCGCGCTCATCTGGTCCGCCAGCACGGTGCTCGTGCAAGCGATCTTCTCCACCCTCGAGTTTGAGCGGCCCGTTTTCCTCACCTACGTCGCCAACTCCTGCTTTGTGATCCTGCTCCCAATCAAGGCGCTCAGGAGCGCGGTCTACGATCCTCCAGCGACTGGGCTGCTGGACCAGACCGCTGCTCTGACGCCCGCAGAGGAGTTGGACGAGGCCACTGGCCCCACAGAGAGAGGCGCAGCCGAGCGAGCGAGTCGCCGCTCGGCTTGGCTCGCGGCGGTACGCGGCGCGCTCGCCCTCTGCCCCGTCTGGTTTGCCGCCAACGTGACGTACAACGTGTCGCTCGCTCACACGACCGTCACGACCTCCACTGTGCTCGCCTCCTCGTCGGCCGCATTCACCCTCCTCCTCTCGATCGCCCTCCTCGGCGAGCAGTGGCGCGCGGCCTCTCTCGCCGCACACCTCTCCACACCCAGGCTGCCGCCCTCCCTCTAGGCGAGCATGTCGGCGCCGACCGCAGCACCGCCTTCAAGGTGGCCGGCGTGCTGGCTTGCTGGGCGGGTAACGTGCTGGCGGTGGTTGACGCCGCGGGTCCCACTGCCGCCGCCACAGGCGGCGGCGGCGGCGGCGGCGGCGAGAGTGGCGGACTCCACGCGACCACTGGCGGGGCGCTGCTGTGCCTGTGCTCGGCGTTGCTCTACGCGTGCTACACTGTGCTGCTCCGCGCGCTCGCCCCGACGGACCTGCTCCTCTTCTTCGGGTTGGTCGGTGCCTTCAACGCGCTCGCCCTCGCCCCACTCGTCGCGGTGCTGCACGTGACGGGCGCCGAGGACCTCTCGCGCCTGGGCTTGGCGGGCGGCGGCGGCATCCTCGGCTGCCTGCTCCTCAAGGGGCTCGCAGACAACGTGCTGAGCGACACGCTCTGGGCCAAGGCGGTCCTCCTCACCTCCCCCGCCGTCGCCACGGTCGGCCTCTCCCTCACCGTCCCCATCGCCATCGCCTCCGAGCTGGTGCTGCCCCGCGGCTGGCTCGTTGACCCCTCGCCGCCCACGCCTCTGCGCCTCGCCGGCGCCCTCCTCGTCGTGGCGGGCTTTGTCGGCATCTCCCTCGCCCCCGACCCGCCGCCCTCGCGAACTCACGAGGCGGAGCCGTCGCACTGCGCTGCGGGGAACGCCGCCACGCCATTGGAGACGGACACTGCACCGCCGAGCCCCGAGAGAAGTCGAACGTGAGAGGAAGGATAAATAAATAACTAAAACGGACACCACCTCTACTAGGAGATGGGTAAAAAGGAACAGGTCCCCGCCCTCTGCGGTCTTTGTGCAGGGTTCTTTGTGGGTGTGGTCGGCGACTAGCCGGGGTCGTCCTCCCGATGGGGGACTAGCACTAGCCGTCTTCCACATTGTCCCTCGGGTCCCTGCTGCTCCTAATCTCTTCGTACATCCTCCTGCTGATCTCCGCAAAGTCCTGCTCCCTCCCTCGTCTCGCCCTGCGCGTCTGCTCCGCCTCCCCGTCGTCCGCCCTGCGTCGTCTGGTGACGGGTCCTCCATAGTCGGTTGAGGTCGCCGCCCTCCTCGTGCCTCGCTTCCCAACGCGTTTCCTCGGCGGCCGATGCCGTCTGCTCCGACTCCGCCGTCCCCGGGTCTGCCCTGCCCTCGTCTGCGCTAGCTTCTGTTTCGTCATCACTGATGTCCGTCCTCTTCTTTCTCCTCTTGTTGTATGCTTTTTGTACATCGCGTCGATTCCTTTTCGCGTGAGCACCACCCTGAAGCCCGCCCAGCAGCTGAACCGCTCCCTAAGTCGAAGGAGCATCATGAGAGGAAGGACAAAGCGAAGAACAAATAAATAAATAAAGACGGACACCTCTCGTCTCTACTGTGAGATGGGTAAAAAGGAACAGGTCCCCGCGAAGAACACATTTAAAAACACGTCGGAATTAAACTAAGGAAACGAGCGCTCCCCAAAATGAAATATACACAGCCGATCGATTCTGGACGTCGGGCGTCGGCACGTCGCACGCCGCTGCTTCGGTTACGTTCGCGCCATCTCCTCGACGCTCGAGTCGGTAGAGCTAGAGGTCAGGTAGGTGTGTGGAACTGGAAGGTGGTATAGCGCGAGAGGTGTCCGTTTCGCGTTTGTGTGTCGGAAGGCAAGCGCGCAACGCTCTTCACGTAGCCGACCCCACTCCTCCACACTCTACCCGAATATATTGCAATGCGTTCTTTTGCCTTGGGCCCGATTTGTGTGTGTGTCCCTTTTCCGCATTGAATGAAGATCCAAGATCCAAGATTCGTAATGCTGTTGCCAGGAAAGGTGCTCCTTGCTCGGCCGCCGTTTTCTTGCTCGCCTGCATGTTGCATCCCGACCGGAAAATCAAAACGAATCAAAAGGCCAAATTCGAGATGCATTCGAGGTACGACAGGTCGCTTTCGATTTACGTCCGCAGTGTGACCGTCCGTCCCCGTCCCCGACGGCAGCCCGGACCGCACGCAGGCAGGGCGACATACGAGTGGCCGCGTGTACGCCCTGCCAGCTAATGAGGGGGTGGCTGCTGGCATGGGCCGCCCTCCATCTTCCGGCGTCCGCGCTGGCGGCGGCAGTCGCGAGCAGTGAATACAACGCGGCTGTGGCTGACGTTGTTGGAAAAGTCAACCTTGTGCTCCTGAGTGACCGGATGGAGGCGATAGAGGCAACTGTGCGCTCGGCATACGCGAGCAAACGGTATTCAAGCTCGCTCATGTGGCACATCTTCACCTCCCTCCCCGCGCACGCTGTGAAAGAGACGCTTGTTGAGGCGGGTGTGCCGGCGGCGGATCTGCACCTCATCGACATGGAGGGCGCAGTCAAAAGCCTCATTCGGCGCGGCGTCGTGCCAGTCTGGAGGTGGAGCGACTGGCAGGACTGGCTCAACGCCCCTGCCACCGAGGCCACGCACTGGCGCTCTGAAGCCTCCCTGATCGAGTTCCCGCCGAGCCGAGAAGCCAAGCACGCCTGCCCGGCACCCTATGCATCCATCGACCAAGGCCTCACAGAGCACGACTCCGTGTCTATAGGCACGCGCACCCGCTAAACCTGATGCGGCTCTATCTGGCCGAGCTGCCAGTGCTGCAGCAGCTCCACCGCGTGCTGCTCGTCGACGACGACGTCATCTTCCAGCGCGATCTCGAGGCGCTCTACTACGAGACTGTCGACCGTGGCAAATTGCTTCGCGCGTCATGCGAGATGTACAGCTTCGCAAGCAAGGCAGGCGTCACTTGGTTGAACCTTTCCTACGCAACGAAAAGCTACGGCGACACGCACTTCATCGGCTCGATTGGGCCGACCGCGTATCCGGTTTGCGAGACTGGATCGGATGATCCGTGCGCCCCAAAGGCGCTCGAGCCGCTGCTAACGTCCCTTCAGGCGAGCATAAATGGGAACACACCACGCACACTGCGGGACGAGGTTGCTTGGAACTTTGGGGTCGCACTATTGCCGCTCGACCGTTGGCGCGAGCAGCGGGTTGCACTACGAGCGACGCGCTGGTTCGAAGCCAACTCGCGCCACCGCCTCTTCGCACCTGACTCGGTGGCGAGTGGTCTGGGCATACCATACCTGCTGTTTGCGGGCGCGGTCGAGTGCTGGCCTGAAGAGGCACTCCTCGACGGACTGGGCTACGTGAGCCGGGAGGACCTCCTGCTTAGCGGCGTGCAGGACCTCAAGCAGTACACCGCGTTGCACTTCGCCGGTCCCGCTAAGTTGGGGACGCAGGGCCTGACCGACTACAGCCCAGCGGCCATGGAGCCGCTCATCCTGCAGCACCTTTCCCTAGCGGTGGCGCGGCGTCAGCTCGATGTGGATGCCTATGGCGGCTATGGCGGCATCTACTACTACCTCCCACCGCCAACGCCGCCCCCGCTGACGCCGCCCCCGCCGCCCCCGCCGCCCCCGCCGTCGCCGATAATCCTAAATCCAGATCCAGATCTATCAGATCTCACCCTCGCGTCACCCCCGCCTGCCAGTCCTCCCCCTCCCACCCCCTTGGACTACCCGGAGCTGTGCGAGCCCGGGAGTTGCACGGGCAACCCCTTCGAGACCTGCTTCTACGACCCCAACTGCGCCACGGGAGGGCTCGGCTGCGCAGCGGGCGGCAAGCCGCTCTGCCGTTTCTGTGGATTCGGGGGCTACATAGACGTTCAGTGTCCTGGCTAGCCGAACAGGGCTACCTACCAAGACGACATCCCCCAATCGAGCACCGTTCAACGGGGATGATCCTTCTGACACGCATGTCCCGCGACCTGAGTCCGCTGGAGTGCGCAGGATGCAAGCGAAGCTGAGAGATTATTGAGGCAGGTTGACGTGACTTTACCGCAGGATGACCGCTGTGCTATTCATTAAAACTATGTAAATTTTTGTAAATGCATAAGTTAATGCAATACTTGCTTCTGGGGTCACACGCGTCTCTCCTCTTCCTACTTTTCCTTTAGTCGTCGTCGGCGTGCGCGGTGTCGCGTCTCGCGTGGTGCTCGTGCGTCCTTATAGCTCATCCCGATTGCTGCTGCCTGGCGCCGGCGGTGGTCTTGGCGACGAGGTAGATTTCGTCCGCGACCCCCCCTGCTCAGCTTTGCCCGCCGCAGCCGCCGCAGCCGCTGCAGCTGCCGCAGCCTCACGCTGCCGCCTGGACTGCAACTGGCGGTGGGCGGCCGCTGCTTTGGCGGCGTGAGCCCGATGTCGCTCCATCTGCTCCTCTTTACTCGCAATCGCTTCGGCCCTCGCCAGTAGCTCCTGGACCATCTCCTCCGCGGTTGGACCCTTTGCACGCACGGGCCACTGTGAGTAGGATGGGGCAGAGGGGACGGGGCTTCAACGGGCAGCCCGCGCCTTGAGGTAGGGCCCGAGCAGCCGCCGGCGATGAAAGAGCTGGCCGACGGGGAACGAGGCCACTCCAAGCTCGCGGAGGATCCCCGCGTTCTGCGGATTATCCATGTCGACGACGCCAATAGCCGTGCGAACGGCGAGCGGTAGTGTCGGCAGCAGCCTCGCCGCCCTCTGCAACTGCGATGTGACATGCGGGCAGCGAGCGCACCAGCGCACCGTGAAGGCGACGAGCAACAGCGGCGTTTCCATGGCCACGCGTGTAAAGTTCGTCGCGTCTAGCCTAATGACCCCTCTCCGGCCCTCTCCCGTCCCGCTCGCGCCGCCCGCAGCCTGCAGCAGAGGTGAGGTGCCACGGGCAAGAATGTCGAGCAAGCCTCGGTCTTGGGCGAGGTTGAGGTGACCGCCGGCGCCGAGCGGATACTCGACCATACCCTCTCCGCTCAGCAGTACCAGCCGCGACCCCGCCTGCCTGACGATTCGCCGCAGCTGATCGGCGCGAGCGTCGCCAATAGCAGCCTGAAGTGCAAGGCGCCAATCGCGCGATACCAGCGCTGACGGGCCCGATCGGCCGAGATCGACGTGGCAGACCCGTTGACGTGCTTGGGACGCGGCGAGCCGGATGGATTCGAGCAATGAGGGCGATGGGCCGTCGGTGCCGGGGCGCTGCAACAGCAGCGCGGAGATGCCAGGCGTGCCCGGGCGCATGCAGAGGCTGAAGTTGCTCGGCCCAACTTCCAGAACATCGGGACCAGCGGGCTCTCTTGCGGTGGCGGCGAGGGCGGCGATGATCGGCTGCATCTGTGGACTTCTGATGGCCCCAGGCGTCGCTCGGCCACCGCCGCTGGAACGCTACGTGCGCTGCACGACAAAGCCTTCTGGCGGGCACAAAAGTTCCGCGACGGAAGATGACAGCCTCTCACTCTGGACTCCATACCCGAAAGAAAGAGAGGGGAGCTCGCGGGAGAGGTGACGAGTGAACTACAGGTAGTGGGGAAGGCAGCCTCGATTGCCATACAGACATGGGTGCGAAACAACGACAAGACCAAGGCACGGGCAGAGGAACGAGAGAAGAATATAGGTAGGGTGGATAAAGCGCCTGTTCACGGCATGGAGGGTGAGCCACACCGAACGTACCGAGCGAAGGGCCGAACGGAAGGAGGACGGGGAAGATGACTCAGAGGAGGACGAACCAGTGGAAATTCAGTTGTCAGATGTCACGATGCATCCGAAGGGGACTCCTGCGCCGGCATCATCCGTAGAGGCACGAGTGTTCGAAGAGAGAGTGGACCTGAGCAACAACATGACTTGGAGGCAAATGATCGGAGTGGGAGTCAGAAATGTGGTCCTTGCGCGAGGGGAGCTCGATAGACTCGAGGGGCCAGGATACGCCGCGAGGAGGACGGAGTTGCGCCGAGAGGCGAAAGAAGCCGCGAGAACAAGGGACCGGCAGGCGGCGGCGTCGCAGGACGAGGCAGAAGAGAACGACGCGACAGAGGAGGAAGTGACAAGGGAGAGAACGACGAGAGTGGGACGGCCGCGAGGTGGCATGAAGGTTGCAGCGAGAAGCGGCGAGAGACTGCGAAAAGAGATACGAAGAGGCAGACTCCCCAGGGTGGGCGACGGCTAGCGCATCACACTCTCCTCTCCTTAAAATCCCTGTGTGGTGGCGGCGTGCCGTTCTCCCATCCCTCCCTTGGGTTGTGTGTTTTCTTTCTTTCTTTTTACTCGTCTTCTCTTTCTCGTGGTGTACCTGTGTTAGTGCCAGTGCGCGCCAGTCCCGTGCCTAGTGTCGTGCGAGGGAGTTTGTTTGTAAAATTCTCTTTCTCTCTTGTCTTCTGTGGTGCCAGTCTGCTGTGTGCCTTCTCCTACCTCATTCTAGAATGATGTAGAAAGAATGAGGTAGATAGAGTCTTCTTTCGAGCCCCCCTCGCTGACTGCGGCTCCTGTGGTGTACCTGCGTCCGCGCCGGTCAAACAAAGAAAGATCTCTGGGTCTCGGATGTGCCGAAGTTATCACATTAAAATCCCTGTGTGGTGGCGGCGTGCCGTCCTCCCATCCCTCCCTTGGGCTGTCTGTTTTCTTTCTTTCTTTCTGAAGTTATCACGACACAACATGTGTGACTCGCCTAGTGTGGAGACGCCGTGTACCGTGGGGCCTTGTTGTCCTAGCACGGGAGTACCCGTGTGGACCGGAGGTAACAGCAGCAGCAGCGCTGAAGCAAATTCTTTGTCGTATCTAGATTCCCGGGTACCTAGGCTGGCGAGTACAGACTGCACCTCACTTTTTCACACCGGGGGTCCGTCCGGGAAAAAAGGCTTTTGCTTTTCGCTTTTCGCTGCGCATGCTCGAGCCCCCGGCGAGGGCTTGTGCTGTGAATAGCAGGCGTGGACTGTACTCTTGACTTTGCGAGGGCGGCCGGCACGGCCGCACCACCCCTTACATTATACCTGGAGAGAGAGTACAAGGTGGAGAGAGAGAAAAGTACGTACAAGGTTGAGCGCCACCACGCAGAGGGAGGGAGTCTTTTAGTAGCAGGTTGGGGTAGCGTTCAGTAGTGTTGATGGCAGTGTGTTCACAAGAGAAGCGAATGCGTACTCTTGTTTAGTAAGGTTCGAAAAAGAACCTGGAGTGTGCGCCCGATATTATTAGCGCCGCCGATTAAACGTTCATTCGAGTTGATGAGGTCGCGCCGAATTCGCCTTGGGCTCGCCGCGTGAGGAGCTCGTGAGCTCTGCAGGGCAGCCTGTCCCTCATTGGGCACGCGGCACCGACGGACGCGGCACGGCCGTGGAGCCCGCATCGCCGAGCCACAGACAGTAGGGTCGCGACGTACCTGCATCAGCCGTCGCGCCGACAGGAAGGAGCTCAGGCGTCGCCGAGCAAAGACGCCGCTGCCGTTCCTTTTTCCCGTTCGCGCGGGTTTCCGTGGCGCATCCCAGCATCCTCGCCCGAGCTCTTTGCGCGCCGCGCGACCACTCTCGGTGTCTCGGGCAGCCTGTGATCCGGAGGCCTCCATGCATGCTGGAACTCGCCGCTCGGTCCTCCGTCGCGGATTTGGAGGCCAGAATCGAGGCCGCAGCCCCCCTTAGGGGGGCTGGCCCTGCAGGGCCAGCCTTTGAGGGGTGTGTGTGTTGGGGTGTGTGTGTATGTTCGTCATTATGAAGGAGAGCAGGTCAAAAAAGGGCGACTGGGGCTCGGCTCCTTGTTTTGCTAAACAAAGGAAGGTTGATTGTTTACACACACCCCTTTCTCTTTCGAAAACACACACCCCTTCAAGGAGCCGCTGAGGAGAGAATCGTTCAAAAACACACACCCCTTCAAGGAGCCGCTAAGAAGAGTCTCTTTCCAAAACACAAAGGAGCCGCCAAGGGTGCAGCCTACCGCGCTGGTAGGGGCTATGAGCTAGGGGCTATGAGCTAGGATGTAGGGGGTGGTGGCGCAGAGTGGGATCCCGTCAGCTCTCAAGCAGGTACCCGGGTACCTACAGTAGGTAGCCCGGGCTCTCGCGCTGCCGACTACGTGTGTGTATATACATATATGTCGCTCTGTGCTGTCCTCGGCGTCAGTGCCCTGCCCCCTACGCTGGACTACACGCCAGTGCTTCGCGCGCTCCGGAAGCCGCCTGACACTGTGGCAGTGATGGTGCGGCTGCTGCAGCGTGACGACGCCCCGCTCTCAGACACGGAGCTACGCGAGTACTCTGAGCAGCTCCGTCTGGCCGGCGCGTCGGCTATTGTGCTCAAGGGCGACGCGAGAGCGCTAGATGTGCTCCTTGAGGAGCAGGCCGGCTCGGCAGGTGAGTACCCAGGCCCATGCCCAGTGCTCTTTGAAGCAGCAGGGAGCTCCGGCGTTGCCGGCTGCCGCGCTCAGGCCCTCGTGGCGCGTAGCGGCACTGTCGCCGCGGGTGCGGCGGAAGCCAGCTCGCTGCCACTGGTTCCCTTGGCAGCGACTGCGGCAGAGCTGCAGGAGGCTCTCGCGACGCCATCGCCGCTGATCCTCTCCTCTGCAGCGGCATGGGCCGAGCTCCCTGCTCCCGGGGCGAGTGATGGTGCCCGCGCAGACGCTGCCGCCGGCGAGGCCGAGGGGTCGCGGGTCGTGGCGGAGCTTGGGGAGGCGCACCTCGCGCTGCCAGCCGCCCCGCGCGCCTCGCCTCACTGCTCGCCCTCGCTGACCGACTCAGGGAGAGGCGGGCTCCGGCGAGCGCGCGAGGGAGCTGCGCGGCGCGGGCTGTGCCGGCGTCGTAATCGACTTCGACCCGCGCTCGTCGCTATGCGGGCCCGAGGGCGTGCTCCGCCCCCTGCTCTCCAAGCGGAGCAGCGCCTTTGGCTCGCTCGGGCTCTCGCTCGGGATGGGCATGAGCGCAACCGTGGCGTCCGACTCGTACTGGATCACAAAGCAGATGAAGGAGGCGAAGGCCAGCCAGCGGCGGGCCGCCCTCTCCTCTGGCAAGCCACCTTCCGGATTCGGCGAGTCCTGAGAGAGTGCGCGTGGTACATATTAAACGATGAGAAACACTTTCGGGCAGTACCCCCTTGTGGATTCCGGAAGTGCTATCTCCTCTATTAAACGATGAAACTTTCGCAGTACCCTTGGATTCCGGCATGCCTGCTATCTCCTCTCGTGCCCCGCCGGCATGCCCGCCGGTAGCTTCTCAAAGACGGCGCGGTAGACAGGCCGCTGCAGCTCGGCACAGGACCGCTCGCGCTCGGTGCTCACGCAGGCGAGCGGCTTCGGCTTCGGAGCCGCCCAATCGCCCGCGTCCTCACGAGCATCGCGGAGCGTCCCTGCCGCCGCCTGCCGGATGGTGTCTCGCGCGTCCTGCGCGAGGTCGAGCACATCCGTCTGGAAGAAAAGCCAGCCGCCCGGCTCGAGGTGGCGCGCGATCGTCTCGACCAGCTCCGGCTGCACGACGCGCCGCTTCTTGTGCCGCGCCTTGAACCATGGGTCCGGGAACTGGATCGAGACCGACTGCAACGGGCCGCAGCGCGACGCGCGCAAGAGCACCGCCTCGAGGTTCACATTCGCGTTGCACGGAAGGAAGGCTGCGTTGGCAACGCCGAGGCGCCGTGCATCCTCCGCCGCCGCCTCGGCGAGCGCAGAACGAATCTCGAGGCCGAGTACGTTTGCCGACCCGCTCGACTCCGCGGCGAGGTCGAGGCAAAAGAGGCCCCGGGCACAGCCGATATCGACGTGCAGAGGTAGGTCGGGCTGCGTGAACGCGCCCTCCTCTGGCCATCGCTCCGGAAGATCGAGCGGCTGCATGTGCACATCCTTGAGCGGATTCACGTGGTGTCGGATCTTCTTCTTCTTGCCCAGCGAGCGGCCGCCCTGGTGCTGCCCGAAGCGCGACCGTGTCGCGCCAGCCGTCGGCGATATGCTTGGAGAGTCGGGCGCACAGAGCAGCGGGCACCCGCGCGGCCGGCAAAAGAGCGGACAGAGCAGCGCGAGAGATCGGGCGGAGGCGCGCATCTTGAAGCGTGTGAGGGTCGCGGGGTGTCTCCGCGGTTAGGCGTGTGATGCCACCCTGGGAAAAAGAAGCCCCGCGCGCCGTCGTGCCGTCCTCCCTCCCTTGCACACCCATCTCCTTAAAATCCCTGTGTGGTGGCGGCGTGCCGTCCTCCCATCCCTCCCTTGGGTTATCCTTTTCTTTCTTTCTTTCTCCCTCCCTTGGCGTGTCTGTTTCTTTGTTTCTTTTTCGGCGAGGCCCGCATAGTATGTGGGACTCCTGCCGCCGCCCCTCTGCCACCCCTGTCAGTGTGCCTTTTGGTAGCGAGAGGCTGCCAGTGAGAAGCTGGAGGCAGGTCGCTAGACTGAGATGAGACCGCCAGTGGAGTTGGGGGTCCACCGTGCACCGCGCTGCGAGCCTGTCGTGTCCCTTGTCAGGAGCAGGAGAGCCCCACCTGTTGCCCCTGATCGTCCTTCCAAAATCCTTCCTGCTCGTGCAGGTGGGGACCCTGTCCGCTGTCCTCCTCCCCCATCCCTCGTTTGGGTTGTCTGTTTTCTTTCTTTCTTTTCTTTCTTTTGGCGTGCCGTCCTCCCATCCCTCCCTTGGGTTGGCTGTTTTCTTTCTTTTTTTCCGGCCCTCCGCGCGCGCTCCGGGGTGGGTTCTGTGGGTAGTCTCGGGAACCGACAGGCAAAATAGAATGCGGCAAAAAAAGAAATCAATATATATGTTCCCGGGCATTCACACTATATTCCTCTGAGATAATATTATATTTCGCCGCCACCGCGGCGCGCGCGCTTTATCCGCGCGCTATATTAGTAGAGCCAAACTTGTGTTCTTGTTTTGGATCAAACTTGTTACAGCTCAGCGAACGCGATGCGGCCTCTGCCTAGCCTCCTGCTCCTATGCGCGAGCTATGGCGTGACCGCTATCGAGTATGACTTCTCTACCGGGAAGAACGGCCTCGACTACTGCATCGCCGAGGCCGACACCACCAGCGACATGACAGCGTCGACCACCATGGCACCTCCACCATGGACAAGCCTTGCACCATGTATGTCAGCCACCACCTGGGCGCCTGGCGTGTGCGAGCACAACCCCAATCGAGCCGAAGGATCTGAACAATGGGTCCAGTCGGTCTCGTCGAGCACGTTCGAGCCCGCCATTTGCATCGAAAATTCATTTCTCAAAGATTTGTCGATAAATGGGCAACTTGGGTCAAAACACCTTGAGGACATGTGTGCCTCCACTCACACTACCTCCCAGGCGATGGAGCACGCGCTACAGTCGGCTCCTGAGGCCTTATCCACCCACTGCGGCCAATCTGAATTTTTGGCCCTCCGCAGCCCCGCGATACAGGTGCACTCATGGCCCAATACGATGGCGCTACAATTCATGAGGCACGGGACTCTTCCTGCGACAACCCAGCCCCATAGGAAGCCTGCGACACACATGCCGCCGCCACCTTTGCTGGATTACTCAATGCTGCCCATTCTTCTGGGTCAATGCGACGGGAACGGCTTCCTTTGCCTCCAAAATGTTTCACCGTGGAACGCTACATTTGACCCTACACCTTGGCAGAAAGTCCTTCCCCGGGACCACTCGGACACGCCGAGTGCAGGAGAGGCATTGCACCATGAGACCTTGAGCAGTGGGACAGAGGTAGTGCCCTTCAACAATGGGACATGTGGTATCATCTGGCCACTCCATGGAACCACCGATGCTGCGAAAGCCCTTTGCCTTGATCACTTTCGGCGACGCGGCAAGCGCGATTGGGTCAAATACGAGCTCCATTGGAACTATATGTTCTCAAACAAGAATTGCGCTCGGGTACAGTCCACATGGATGGGAATGATCTGGCCATTTTTTCTTTGCTTTGCTCTCGTTGGGTTCCTTTTCCTTGCGTACTCCCTGCTGACAAGTGCACTGACAATTGGCGACCTGTTTGCTTACCAGACCATGAGCAGCCTTATGATTGTCAAAGCGTGGTACGGATTGCGACACTATGGTGCAAATACCAAGCTACTGATCATCAACCTGGGTATTCAAATCAAGTGGGTCTTTGACTGGTATTTTTGCCTTGCGCCAGCTGCACTTGCGATATGCGGCATCATCCTGCTCGTTGCTTGGGGCTTTGCAATCTACGATTTCGTGCGATCCCTCCTATACTTCGCCAGGTATGCATGCCTCGTCGCCTTTGAGGTCATCACCAGCACTACTGTCAAAACTGTTTGCTTCATTTGGACACCTATTACCACCACCATCTCCTTTGGGTGCCCGTATGCAATCGTTTGCGTCAGCATCTATCGCGACTTCCTTCGGAGGTTTCTCAACTTCGTCAGTCCAGTCGTGAGGGAGCACTATGCCGAGCTAACTCCTTTGTCCGATGTTTGCGAACCGATCGACACTGGCCACCGAAAGCCGTTGCCCTCCTCGCTTTGCCCCCAATGCCTCCATGGACTTGTCGAGTGCTTCCATTGCACCTACCATGGCATGGCAGAAAATCCATGGGTGTGCGGGAACGCCCTTCGACCCAATGCCAACGAGAGGCCTATGCCGTGGAAATTCTGGATGTGTCGTAACCTCCATTTGGCGTTTTCTTTGTACGACGATGCTCTTGCCGCCATTTATGCTCGGCTTCTCCACCTTCACGTTTGGGCCACTCTCCGTTGCCTGCAGTATCGTAGTGGTGAATACATCGTCATTTACGTGTGCAATTTTGGTTTGATCATGACACGCAAGGCCCTATACTACTTTATTGGCTTTGCTACCATTTGGCAAATCGTGTACATGCTAACCAATAGCATCGCAGTTGCTGCCGACCCGCAGGAGACCACCCCTGCCTTTGATGGCCAGCGTGACTCTTTCGTTGGTTGGTATATGCTCTTTACCGGGTACGTCGCGTGGAAGGCTACCGACGCCTACACTATCGCCGATGGTTCCGAAACGAAGCCTGAACCGCCCGCAGGAGAAGAACCAGTCATATCTGCGCCAAATATCAGCAGGGAAGGGGCAGTCACCAATCAGGCAACCATCACCGCTGAGACTCGGGCTCGTGACGCTTGGCGCAAACGAACCAAGAAAGTTGAGAATTGGGAAGAACGCAACCGCAAGCTATATGGGCTACTAATCACCGCCATGCCAACGTGGCTGCGTACTTCCCTTTTCAACTCTCACTCTGGTGACGGAAGGGCTGCGATCGTTTACCTACAATCCACATTTGATGCTGGAAAAGGGAAGGGCAATGATCATGCTTACCACCTCGAGCGGCTCACTCGGTCAGTCATCGAGCCCCGTCGGGAGATTGACGAGAAGGATTTACAGAGTCAATATGATTGGATTATGACTTGCAAAGCCGCCATCGAGCGCACTGAGGAAGATGTGCCCGGAGAAGCTACCTTGATTGCTTTCTTCGACAACGCTCTTCCACATTCGTACAGCTCCATTCGGCAACTTGTGCGCCGTCAGAAACATGATACGCTGCTCAAGCATTATACCGATTACCAGGATATGGTCCGCGGGGAGCTTGCCTCACGTCGCCCTACGCCGTCCGCCTATAACGCCAATCAGGGCAATGCCAATCAGGGCAATGCCAACCACGGTGGGACTCGAGGGCGAGGGCGCCAGCTTTGCGTCCGTTGTGGCCTTGTCGATTGCCCTGGCCGCAGGCAGTGTGCCAAGCCTCCGACTCAGTGTCCACTCTGTGGTGGCGACCATCTTGGTGCTTTCTGCCCCAAGGCTGTCGGCCGCCACCGCCGCGGTGAACTTACCAGTGGCGCCCTCAAGATGCTAATGAAGGAGATGACTGAAAGCCTTGCTCGGCGCGGGCAACCCACTGCCGCCGCCGCTTCTACCGCGCCAGCCGCCGCCCCTGCCGCGCCACCTGCTGCCGCACCCGCCGCCGCCGCTTCTGCCCCTACCTACGCCGCCGCCGCTGGTGCTAATTCCTCCGCGTCGCACGCTAACTTGCCACCTTCTACCGCGCCCCCCGCTGTTGATGCCGACCGCCAGCGAGCCTTCGCCGCCGCTGCTGCCGTCGCCTCCGCCGAGGCCGACCCTAGCAATTACGCGCAAGTTTTTACTGGGGCCCTGCGTAGCTTTGGCTATGTCTGCAACGCCGCCTATGGCGCCATCGCTCCTCCCACGATTGCTCCTCCCCCTGGGATAGCTTCTGCAATTTGGTCTTTTGTTGACTCCATGTCTACGCATTTTATCGTGCCCGACATCGCGATGTTGCACACTGTGACTGACCCGTCACCCGGTATTGGCGTCGACACCGCCAACGGCCCCTCCTATGTCGAGGCCATCGGCACCGCCCTAATTTGGCTTTATCATGGTGGCACTGTTGGCTGGATATGCTACGAGTTACCCCATGTGCTCGTAATGCCCAATTGCGACGCCGTGCTTTACTCGACCCGGACAATGCGCAATCTGTTTGGATTTCGACATGATTTCGATTCGTCCAATCCTGCTATCAGTTGCCCTGGGCGCCCGAAGATCTCCATCATTGACGATGGATATGGATTTCGCATACCCATCGCCTTTGTGCGCGCCGGCCGACCGTCTCCGTATGGGCTCATCCGCAGTATGGCTGCCGTCGCCGCCGCCGCCCTCCATTATGGCCCTGGGCTCGCCCAGTCGACGCTGTACCATCGACTCGGTTTTCCGTATCTCGATCAGTGGCGTCGTACTCTGGATTCGATCACCGGACACGGGCTCCCCGCCGAGGCGTCGCTCACCAGCGTTCCCGTCAGCGATGCCATCATTCGCGGCCGCTCTCGCGCTTTGCCATTCCATCGGAACCTTGATGGTGAGCAGCCTGCGCCTGGCGCCGTATTTTACATGGATGGTGCTGGTCCGCTCATTCCCAGCTTTCCTGATGGCTACGTGTCTTACTGTGTCGCTGTCGACGCCGGGTCCGGTTTCGGACGTATTTGGCCGTCGCATCGTGCCCAGCTCGACGCCGCCACTGCAGCCCGCTGCCTCGAGGCCTTTATTGCCCAGGTCGCCGCTTTGCTTGGTCTATTCAGTGCATTCAAGCCACACGTTGTTCGGTCTGACCAAGGTAGGGCTTTCACGAGCTTCCACTTCAGTGAATTCCTCGCCGCACGCCAGATCCTTCAAAGCCTTGCTTGTACGTATACGCCACAGCAGAATTCCCATGCTGAGCGCTTCATCGGCATCGTTTTTGGCACCGCTCGAGTTCTCCTCGCCGCCGCCAATTTGCCGCCTACGTTTCATCCGTTTGCACTGCAGACCGCTGCATGGTTACAGAATCGCCTCCCACGATCGACGCGCAATTGGCAGTCGCCCTTTCACCTCCTCAGTCGTACGCTACCATCCGTCGAGAACGTGTACGCCTTTGGTTGCTTGTGCGCTGCTGTCATCCCTGTGCCTCGTCGTGAGGGCGACCGCCACCTTGCTGACCGCGGTGGCATGGGCCTCTACCTCGGGCCCTCCGAAGTCAGCCCTGGACACGTCGTGTATTTGTTTGCGTCCAAGATCGTCCAGGTTGTTGCCAAAATTCGCGTTTGGGAAGATCAGTTTCCTGGGCTCAAGGGACATCGGTACTCTTGGTTTCCCAGCAACGAATCACTTCCGCCTGACAGCGGAATTGCCGAGTCTACCTCTGCTCCTCCCGTACGCGCCGACCCCGCCGATGCCGTCGCTGATGGACCCCAGGGCCGCGACCAGCGCAATGTTCGTCCCTCAACCGCCGGTGCTCGCCGTGACGCCCCCGCCCAGTCTGCTCCGCCGCCTACGCCGCATGAGGCGCCACCTAACACGCCTGCCGCCGCCAGTTCAGGAGGGGCTGAGGCATCCACCATCGAGGTCCCCGCCGACGTTTCCCGCGCCTCGCCGCGCGCTACGGAACCGATCCCTATGCCTGACCTTGAGCCTCGACAGCCTTTGCGCCGCTCTGCACGCCTTAAGGAGCTTGGTCACTTTGCTTGCTCGTTCCTGAGTTACTACGTCGTTCCTACTGCGTGCCTCGCCGTCAACATGTCTGCCGCCCTCATCTCCAATGCCGTCTACTGCGAATCATGTGCCGCCGATTTCTTAGCCTTCGCCGATTGCCTTGGATCCGTCGACACCGCTTTCGACACTTACGATCCTATTGGCAACGAATTCTCACTCATCGCCGCCGCTCGGATTGCCTGCACTGCATACGCAGTTACCCTCACCGCCGATCAGGGTGCACTACGAGTGCCTAAAAGCTACCGGCAGGCCATGTCTAGCCCTCAAGTCGAGCAATGGCGCGAAGCTATTAACAAGGAACTTTCTGGTCTCATTGCCCTCAACACCTGGGACCTTGTACCGATTGCTTCGATTCCTGCCGCCGCCAATATTATGCACTGCCACTTTGTATTTGCAATCAAGCGCAAGGCTGACGGTTCAATCGACAAGTTCAAGGCACGCCTTGTCGCCGACGGCAACACTCAGAAGCATGGTGTCGACTTCAATCGCGTCTTCGCTACCGTCGTCAAGGCCCTTACTATCCGCCTCGTACTCGCCATCGCCGCCGCCCGTGATTACAATTTGACTTCTCTCGATATTCGGCAGGCTTATTTACAGGCGACCATTGACGAGGATCTGTACATGCGCGTTCCTCCAGGAGTCAACAGTGGCAACAACTCCCTCGTTTGCAAACTGCGGCGCAGCCTTTATGGACTCAAACAGGCAGGGCGAGAGTGGGGACTACTCCTCACCTCCTTCCTCGTTTCCTGGGGATTCGTTCGCTCGACCATCGACGTGTGCCTGTATATCTACCGATCTGGCAATCTTGTCTTATGGGTGCTAGTTTACGTCGACGACATACTCATCGCCGACAACTGCCCCACGCTGCGCGCCCGTTTTGTTGCCGACATCTCCAAGCGGTTTCCTACCGAGGACAAGGGCGAGCTCGAATGGATACTGAACACCGCCATCACGCGTGACCGCGGCGCACGGACCCTGAACTTGTCCCAGGGCCTCTACGCCGCCGACCTCGTTGCCAAGTTCAGCGCCTATTTCGATCGGTCCCGCTCACGCCGCTTCGACTCGCCTATGGAAGAGGGGCTCGAACTGTCCGCCGACGATCAGCCCGCCGTTGGATCTGTTGAATACGACGAGATGTCCGAATTCCGCACCGCCTACATGGCCATCGTCGGCGGACTACTGTGGCTTGCCAATATGACGCGCGTCGACATTGCTTATTCCGCGTCTCAGCTTGCTCGGTTTATGACGAACCCTGGCCCGTCGCATTTTAAAGCCGCCATCCGGGTACTTATCTACGTGCGCGACACAGCTGACCGCGCCCTCGTCATGCAGCCGAATTCCAACCGCAACCTTGAGAGCTACGTCGATTCAAACTGGGCCACGAAGTACTCTTGCTCCGGTGGCATGTTCTTCTTCTACGGATGTCTCTTCCACTGGTTCTCCAAAATGCAGCGATCCGTCACGCTGTCTAGTGCCGAGGCAGAGTTCTTCGGCGCCATGCTAGCCGCCAAGGAGGTGATTTTCATCCGTGAGCTACTGATCGACCTTGGATTTTCCATCGACGGCGCCAGCGTCATCAACTGCGACAGCAAGTCCGCCGTCGGCATGGCCTTCGATCCCGTTGCCTTCAAGAAGACCAAGCACATCTTGCGCGCCGCCGAGTTTCTTCGCGATCTCGTCAGCCGTGGCGTTATCTCTGTCGAACACCTCCCCGGCGTCGTGATGCTCGCCGACCTACTCACGAAGGCTGCCTCGCGGGCCATCTTTACTGGCCTGATCAAGCAGCTCGACGACTTTCATGCCCTTTGAATTTATTTGTCCCTCGCGCCCCGCACTCGGGCCAGGAGGGGCTGTTCCCGGGCATTCACACTATATTCCTCTGAGATAATATTATATTTCGCCGCCACCGCGGCGCGCGCGCTTTATCCGCGCGCTATATTAGTAGAGCCAAACTTGTGTTCTTGTTTTGGATCAAACTTGTTACAGCTCAGCGAACGCGATGCGGCCTCTGCCTAGCCTCCTGCTCCTATGCGCGAGCTATGGCGTGCCCGCTATCGAGTAAGACCGCGAGTCGAGAGCGCGCGGAGGCGCGCGAGGACGCCGTCGCGGACACACTCTTGTGTTCTCATATACTATTAGCGACTGACGAGCCCACGCACTCCACACACTCACACCACGCGCGTCGTGACGCGACACACATGCACGGTGCAAGGATGTGAGCCGATGAATAAAAACACGCGGCGCGGGCGGTCGCGCGCAGGCGGTCTCGTCGGTATGGCAAGTGGAAACGGACGGCTGGAGATCACACGCTTGAGGAAGAAGGCTCAGCCGCGGCGGCGAGAGAGTCTCGAAAAAAAAAACGCCGTACGAGTCCGGCTAGCGCTCCTCGACGGCCTCCGTCGGCAAGACGCCTGCAGGCACAAGGCGGCACGCTGGAATGGATTCGCGCCGTCGGTGCAAGCGCGTGGGACGTCGGGCAATGCGGCACGCCTGGCGAAGGGGACGGAGCGGCGGCCACCGCGCGAGTGGGCGCAGGCGGCCTGGGCGGGGGTGACGTGATACTTCGGCTGAGCACGCCACTCTCTGGCGACCCACGAGGACAGCCGAAGAGCGGCGAGGAGGATTGCTGCGTCTGCGGCTGCGGCGACTGGTGCCGCGAAGTATGCTGCTGCAACGGCTGCTGGACCTTTTTTGTTTTTGTTTTGTATTTTTTTTTTTTTTTTTTTCTGCGGAGGCTGCTGCTGCGGGGGCGACTGCTGCAGCGGCGACGAGAGCGACGAGGCGGGCGACTGCGCCTGTGGCTGGCCCTGCTGCTGTGACGGCGACAACGCCGCGTCTCGCCGCGGCGGCGGCTGGTCTCGCCGGGGCGCCGGGGATAGGGAGGAGGAGTGCTGCGGCGAGCCAAGCTGCGGCGCTGGCTGGTTCGACGGCGACGCGTGCCGCAGCTGCTGCTTTTGGAAGAGCTGCTGCTGCTGCTGCTGCTGCGGTGGCGAGCCCATACCTACGTCATGAATGCGCCAAGGTCAGGGCGGGAACACGGCACTGCGCAGAGCAGTCAGAGCACCGCGTGAATGCGGGGGGTTCGAAC